CAAGAAATAAATTTTTTTGAAGGGGGGGGGGGGGGGGGGGAACAACATATTCAGAATAGATAAGTGAGTGGCGCTAATTTCAATATATGCATTGAAATTTTAAAATTTAGTGGCAAAAAGGGGGGGGTGCCCCCTACCCCTACTGGATTCGCCCCTGTAGATGGCAGCAGAGGGAATGCGTTCATAGCAAGTACGTTGAAGTGATTTTCTTAATACTATATCTCAATTTAGTTACAATATTTATATTTGTATATCATACTTGCTATCTCAACTATTTTCTCACTGACAGCCAATCCTTTGGTTGTACCACTGTAGACAGATGACACTGGATCTAATTGAATTATTTATTATTATAATTTATGGGACAATACATCTTTAATATTTAAAATAATTAAATGCTACAGATACCTTGTTAATAAAATGGTTCCTCTATCCCCCATGTGAAGCACAGTCGGTCTTATTTGAATAAGACTATGTAAATTAGCCTCATCTTCACAGGCTTCATCAATGATATCCACTGATTCAATAGCTATTGCTTTGTTCTTATCATACAGTTGCATCACCAGTAACTCCATTCCCCAGTTGTGGAAGTATGGGATTCTGGCACGCAGTAGTACACGCAAGTGATTTGTGGTGTATAATTTCACAGCCTAATAAAACAAAACATAAAAATAAAAATCAATGACGAATCCATAGTTAAACATGTGTCTGCTTGTTGTTATGATATTAATTAGTATATACAGTTTAAATTATTTTTTGATGTCTATTCAGTATTGGCCTGTATATTTTGATGTTTATTTAAGTATAGGAGTGATGTTTTACCTACCTGACGTGTTATCGTACCGAATACTCAGTACGTCTCCAAATACTTGTACATCCCAAATACATCACTCCTATGATATTTTCCTGAAGCAAACTCACATCGAAATAGCATTTGCAGTACCCGCTGCTATTTGGGGATCGGATTCAACACTAGCCACTAAGCACAAGCTCGGTAGTCTAGTGGTTATGGTGCCAGGCTAATTATCTTGAGGGTGTGGGATCGATTCCCACCCGAATCACTTGTAAAATATTTGGTTATGTACTGAGTATCCGGTATGATAACACATAAGGTAGGGCAAAACATCACTCCTATGATATTTTCCTGATGCAAACTCACATCAAAATATTTAAGTATAGTTTAATTAAGTCTTTTTAAAATATAATATTTACTGCCAGTGGAAAAAGAATTTCTATGTATCACATGTTACTTTAATAATAAATTATCTTGTATTTTGTATTATAATATTTTCCTCAGAATAAGATGGGAATAAACTGTTGAGACTAAAGTTTGATGTTAATATTAATGTTGAAATAGTCAATGCTGTTGTTTATAATTAAAAATAAGGTCTGAATAGTTACATGTACAGAGGATGTAAGCATCTTGGTTAAGATGACTCTGGCTAATCCGTCCCTTCGGTAGTCCAAACATGTGATGATTAAACGTAACAAACTGTCATGATTTGACAACGAACTCAAATCTAAAAAGCTAATCATCACAATAAAAATGTTATAAATCGTTATTAGAAGACAAGATAGCATATTTAATTAATTTTACTAATAAGTTTGCGATGCTCATAAAATTAATAACATTTTTTTTAAGCTAAATTATTAAGATGCACATATTTCTCAAGACAAATGAATTAATCAAGACTGTAAACATACCACTGGAATGCACCATGCTTTTCAAGAAGTTTCTCTCCTGTTAAACTGCTAGAAAGCTTTCCAAGAAACAGCAAATAATCCTGGCTCAATGTGGTGTGAAGATTGTGTGTACTGAATACTGCCTGCGCAGAAAGATTGTTCGCAGGAGATACAAGCACCTCTTCAAGACATTCTACAATGTCCTCCACAAGTTCTGATAGAATACGCTGATACTCCTACACACAACCATTTAAATATATTATATCATATCCATTTGTAAAAAATAGGCTCCAGCAGGAGCAGGTGTCTATGCCCTATACTGCCTTACTGTACAGGCAGTATGTTTACTAGTATCTACATGGGGATTCGGTTATCAGAAAATGTGTGGTGTTGTTTACGAGGGCAGGCCTTATATTCATTTTTATCTTTAGCTCATGACTCATCCCATCATTCCTCCATTACAATTTACACGATCTTACAGGGTTCACTGCTACTCAATAACATAGTGTCTAGCCCCCAAGGTGGCATAGACAAAAAAGCCCACCTCAATACAAGTATAATAGACTGAAATAGAATATTAGACCATGGAGTTATTAGTGAGAAAATAACCACTTGATAGGAAATCCTTTTGACAGGTCAAAACAAAAGTGTTCCCTTCTTTCTTAGCCCTGGAAACTTGTTGAAAGCATGGACGCACAAATAATGAGGTTTATTTTAATAGACAATGAACAAAAGGCAACCAATTACAATTAGAAGAACATGACCACTATGGTTTGACATTGAATTATGCAATCTTTAAAATCCTCAGTATAAAGTACATTTGAAGGGAATAATTAACTAAAAATTGCAGTTTTGATCAGATCTGAAATGTCTGTATACAATACCTCTTCACAGCTAGTAAGAAACTCAAAAAATTGAATTCCAACAATTGTATAACGTTGTAACTCATGACTTCTCGTCTTTAATTTGTCTAAAGGTATCCGACAGAAAAGGTTAGTTTGGGGCTTGTAGAAACAGGCAATATTTCTAAGGAATCTGTAACAGAGGCACAAAAAATGAATTAAGAGTTCTCTTTGTTATTTAAGATGGGCTCCAGAGGGAAGAAAGTTTTTGATATGTTTTACAACTGATTTACGAAACACTGAAGAGTTGTTCAAAAAAACAAACTTGGAGTCATTAATAAGACACACTTTTTAAATATTCTGTAAGTCTGTTATCTTAATAATCATTCTCGAGTTTTGTTGGTGTCTTAAAAATCAGTATCAAAATATTTCTTCCCTCTGCAGCCTGACTTATGTGCAATGCCATCAGCACCATTATTCTTAACATCAGTATGATACTTAACATACCAAACAATTGCATTGAACTACTAAGCTACAATTACAAATTACCATTAAGAATCTGTAATTTCATTTATTACAAAAGCATTATCAAGTACAATATAAACTTACTTAACAATATTTGGATCTTCGGATTTTTTAAGAACCACACTTGACCACTGGGAGTGAGAAACAAAAATGACAAAAATGAGATTGCAGTGCTGAATACAAACCAAAAATTAAAATAACAATATATATATATATATCTATGGTAATCCTGTTACAACTACCTAATAGCCTTTTCAATAAAAATTTAAAAATTAATAATTATAATAATAATAATAATAATAATAATGCATTTGCCTGATGATAGTGAACAAGATTGTGCTCAAAACATACAGGGGTCCAGCACCAAGGCAAAGCCAAGCTGTCAGTGAACACCCAGTGGAATTAATTAGGAAAATTATCTTTACAAAATAATGTCATTTCAATCCATACATGTTTAATTTAACATATAAATTAGCATGAGAGATAGTATTATGCTATTATATTTTACTACTGTACATCCAGGTCTTCATTTTACGAGTTCATTAGAGTTTCATGAATGTTCTTTTTATCTTTTAAACTATTTTAACATTTAAAAGTTGTATTTGTAAAGTGACATTAATCTGATGGTGAATAAAGAATTGAATTAAATAAACACAACCATCTTTCTATTTTAAATACTGTACCTTAAATATAGTGCTCAATAAGTCCCAATTCCACTTTGAGTATTCATCTGTCAAGACTTTGGTATTTTTAATAGACTGAACCAAACCATCTTCTGAATCCTAAAACATAAATAGTATTCATCTTTATTATTCAATTATTTCTGTTTCTGTGGATATTTCTCATTCAATGGATGATCAAGTTTCAGGGGACATTTCTGTTTCTGTGGATATTTCTCATTCAGTGGATGTTTCTCTGTCTGTGGATGATCAAGTTTCAGGGGACATTTCTGTTTCTGTGGATATTTCTCATTCAGTGGATGTTTCTCTGTGGATGATCAAGTTTCAGGGGACATTTCTGTTTTTGTGGATATTTCTCATTCAGTTGATGTTTCTCTGTCTGTGGATGATCAACTTTTAGTGGACATTTCTGTTTCTGTGGATGTTTCTGTTTCTTGATGTTACCTTGTTAAGAAATTGTTTTAAATCTTCCTTAGCTGATTTTTCCACCTTTCTGTCAGCTAGCGTGTCCCTCTGATGTGACAGAATGTGATCTAGAAACAGGCTGCTGGCAACGTTTCCTCGTTTCTTCACTTCATGGAGAGTGTTTAGATGATTAACAGCTGCATTGGCACGGCTGAATTCAAAGAAAAGGTTTAATAAGGTAATGATATATTTACAGAGTGTACCACGTTGTGGCTTTGGCTATTTCTTATCTTTGTACATAGCATATAATAATTCTTTATAAATAATATATATATCTATATTAGTATTTACAAGTAAATTAAACCCATAACTCGCTGTGGCATGTGCTGATGTTGACATCATCCCACCAATGGGTTCTTTAAAGTATACACTAGCCAGATGTGTATACTAGACCTCCATTAAGTCCTTATCCGAGAACCCTGCCTTACCGCTCGGCCACTCGAATCACAGTTTTTCTAGATGAGCAGCTGTACTGAGTTCAGTTGTAGAAATGAGAGCAATATAATACACAAATACTACATAATATATTACTAGAGAATTAAATTCTACACAATAACATTCTATTGTCTTATGTCAGGTAGACTAAACAATTTTAAAGAAAGACTTACTTTCTTTGCAGAGGTGAAATATGGAAAGCTGCTGCTAAGGACATCTTTTTAAGAAAACTTAAACATTTCAATGTCAATGAAAATATTCTCCTACTCTTCTACAAGGCTGTTATACAGAGTGTTCTGATGTTTAATTTAATTTGTTACTATGGTAACATGTTTGAATACAGTAAAAATAAATTTGAACGTGTTGTCAAAAGAGCAAATAAGTGCATTAATGGCGATAACGTCTTGCCTAGTGTTAAAGAACAATATTATAATCGTATTGAACAGAAAAGAGTGGCAGTTATGCAAGATGATATGCATCCACTAAGTTTATCCTTTAGGTCTAACTTAACGGGTAGATTAAGAGTACCCCCTAGAATAAGAACGGCACGCTACCGACTTTCTTTTGTTCCACAATGCATTTTTAATTATAATTACCATGTTATCCATCGATAAATAAATTTCTGGTCTGTCTCTGAGGTATCACAATAATAACAACACCCGAGAATGTCTTGCCACATTTCACATTATATATTGTTATTATATATTATTATTATTATTATTATTATTATTATTATTATTATTATTATTATTATTATATAATATCACTATATTTCATATCCGTGTTTTATTGTTGTCATGTTTATATTTTTGTTGCCATGAGAAAAACCAATTTCAAATTTTAATTTGACAATAAAGCTATCTTGTATCTTGTATCTTGTATCTTGTCAACCAAATGCTATGTAAAAACAACATACTCTAAGCAGGCTATTTGCCTACAATAAAACAAATGCTATGTCAACAACACTATACTGTTTTGTGAGAATTCTCGTGTCCTCTTATGTTTTATCTTAAATTGAGTAGGGTTTTTTATCTGTAATTTTCTGCTGTTATTGTTGTTATTGTTTTTGTTGTTTTCAGTATTGATATTATTATTAATAATATTACTGATAATATTTATTGTGATGAATTTTAACTTTTATATAATTATTGTTGTTTAATGATTTGTTGTTTTTGTTATTTTTATTATTAATATTATTATTATTAATTTTATTGCTGTTGTTAATTAATCAACCACGGACTCAAGGAAGAACAAATTTTTACAATTTCTCTTTGATATTGTATTTTCTATGTTGAATTTTGGTTTTTGCCGTGTATAAATAAAGAGATTATTATTATTATTATTATTACTCTCTTGCCTACAATAAAACGAAGACTATGCCAACAACAACATATTGTAAGCAGGCTATTTGCCTTCAAGGGAACAAACAACAAACACTATGTTAACAACATACTCTAAGCAGCTTTTTGCCTACAATGGAACAAACACTATGTTAACAACATACTCTTACTGCAATCAAACAAACACTATGTTAACAACAACATACTCTGGCTATTTGCTTACAATGAAATATAACATATTAACAACCAAATATTTTTAAACTTTATATCTATCTTTAAAGATATACTGACTGCCATGAATAAAATAAAATTGAAAATTTAATTCCATACATGAATTGCTTAATTAGTATATTTAAATAAATTAATAACTTTCAATTAAAAATCTAAATGAAAAAAAGCTATGGGCCACAACCCAAATTGAGGTCACTAAAATAGTTTGGAGGGTCGTATATGTAAAATAAAATAATTTAGCACTCCATGCTTGTTTATGTTAATCCAAGCTATATGACAGGGTTTCTCATTTTAATATTTTAATAATTTATACGACACAAGCAAGCGGTGAATAATAATTTGTGAGACCCAAAATCGACTGAATATACCATTCAAAACTCTAAATTGTCAGAGCTTTTAGGGGCTTCACTAACTGGACCCCTCCAAAAGTATCAGGGCAGAATGATCTGTTTTTGGTTGGAAATAGTAACGTATTTGATCCTTCTACATGAGATATTTGAATTTTTGATTGAATTTATGAGGTTTTCCCCCCACTTTTTTTTGCCAGAAGTATATCGTTAATGTTAAAAATATTAAATTTCCAATAAAATTATTACCATTTGAAGCAATTCCCCCAAAAGCACTGTTGCCATGGTGGCGAGATGATCACTACCAGATGTGATGACCTCTACAAGACTCTGAAAAGAGATATCAAATGTTTTGTTTATTTTTTTTCAAATCTTTATTTCAGCAATCAAAAGCCATACAAAATTTGAAATACAAAACAAAAAGAACATAAAAAATGCAAAAAAAACAAAAAAAACCCAAATAGAACTGTATACACTAAACCCTGAGAATTATCATCCATTTTGAATGAAGCACTGATTCTCTAAGGCAGTACTGATAAACGGTTTTAACTAAATTGCTTGTACTCTTTTCCAATCTACACATAAAATTATAGCATCTATACATTATATTTATACATGGTTTTCATTAATTATTCAGTTTTATAACATTTTTATTGCTTTTTAGACCATTTAATTACAAATTAATCCCTATTCCTCCAAGGAATAGTAATATGTTCCTGGTGGGATTGGGATTGCCTGCTATTGCATTAATATTGCATAAACACTTAAGCATGTGGACCCAATGACCGCGAAAAACATGGTATCTTAAAGGAAAGGTACATAAATGCCAAATAACAAATATTTGTACCCTATAATACAAATTGACCAGTTACACTAATTAAGTTGGCATTCACAATTATCAATCTTTAGGTCTGTAAAATGATTTCAAAAAGAAAACAAATGCACTTTACATTTATTGACCCCACCTTCAAAAAACATCTTGTCTAAAAGAGTAAGAACACAAGCAGTGTAACCAACCAAAATCTTGTATCGTGCAACTGAAATCCCAAACTGGCAAAATAGTTTCATCTGGTTTCCAATATGTAAGTTCCACAGGGACATGTCTTAAAATAAGCCAATACTCACTGTGACCGGGGCAACAGCAAGCAGACCATATCTATTTGATGAAGCTGACAGCTGGGCAAAACTGTGATTCACAAAATAGCAGTGAGTTTTGGTTTATTTTAAGAAATTTCGCTATGGAAACCAAAAGCCTTACAGCTTTCTCTTAAGAGCAATAATATACTACAATATGTTGTATGTTTTACTGTACCTCTAGTAACCCAACATTGATGAAAGCAGACATCAACAATGCTTGGTGATTTTCTACAAGGTTTGTCCTAGAAGATGCCAAGTGAGGAAGTATCACCTTTGCTTCTTCAACAACAAAACCCTCTGATAACGACCATGTTGGTTGCCAATGAGATGGATCTAAAAAGAATAAACACAAACAATGATAGAGGTTTGTAGGGTATCATTTGCAAATGGTTAGCATATATTTTTTAACTCCACTGACCACACTTTCAAATTTGCTTTTCTCGCACCCATTAATTATTTGCATGACCACAACCGTTCTTGCCTACACTTTGCCCACGCCTTAGCTTTGCTACACATTGTTAGTCTTCTAATTATTGCCGCCATGGTTTTTTTATGGCCATCTGAACAAGTTATTCAAATGCAATGTATATTACCTGCTGACACAATAGCTAAAGAGAAATCATCAGTCCAGTCCGGGACAGGTAAATGGAACAGATGGAAAATCAATGTCATAATATGTTTCTAAACAGACAAAGAAAACTGGACATGATTCATGTTGAAGTGACAATGAAGCAGTACATTTTAGTAATACATGTAAGGTTGTACCATATAACATTAGCAACATAAGGCATATTATAAGAATTTTTTTTTTAAACATTTACGTATTTAAACTTTTTTTCTTCATTTTATTCAATATTTGATATGCAGCATATGCTGAATAAATAATAAGCAATAAAATGGATTAAAAAGACACAAAACTACATTAACTGAAGAAATCTGCCTGATCAAGAGTTAGTCCACACCAAACTTAATGTTATGCATCAATATTTTTATTTATCCACATTACATATGTTATAAAATTTTATATTAGCCTTATCAAGAAGTGTCTCCAAATTTAATGTAATGACAAATACTATATCTGCCCCAGCAAGAAGTTTTTTCCAATATTAATGTCATACAACTTTCCACAAACTTACTCTAGTTTCTTCATTTGGAATACAGAGAATATTAAGCAATGAATGGAGACCACCACAATCTGGTTTACAAAGTCTTATCATACCTGTAAGAGACAAACAAATGCATTAACATTTATTTAAGTCTGAAAGATAGACGACAGGATTAATATTACCTTCTATTCACAATTTCTTACCAGGCCATGAGCGAAGCATTGAAATAATTGCTAATCTGCTAGATTTAAACATAGCTTCTCTCTCCTCACTAAAAAAAAAAACAAGGGAGAAAAAATATTTCAAGTTAATCAAATTATAATTCATTTAAACATATATTATATATAGATTCTAATTTTGTATAGTCCTACTAATTGTGTAAATAAAATATTATGAAATACTTGATTTGTAAATACCATGAAATTCCCATTTCTTCATATTATTCGCTTCTTTTTTATCTATTTTTTTTAATATACTTTCAATAATATATTTTTTAATAGTTAATATACAACTACAAAATATTTTCATAAATATTTACAATGGGGCTGAAGAACAATGATTGTTACTACTGTACGTGGAAATCCGATTTGTTTTGATTCTAAAGCTCACTAATTTGGTACTATTTAAGCAACATAGTTGGATATAATGTAAAACTAATATAATCTACTGTATAATTATTGTCAAAATATTACATGTAGAATTTGCATGCATACCTTGGCTGTTGCTCAGAGACCTCCCCTGTATGTTTGTAGTTCAAATCTGTAAAAGGAGCTAAGATTTGCTGAAAGATAAAAATAATATTCATGGTATACAATAGCATACTTTACAAAAGGAGTTTACACTGTGAAAATAATACTGCACTCAGTGCTTAATATGTCCCCAATTAAGTTGTAAACATTTGATTTTAAAGTCGAACCTAACCCTCTGGAGCTAGTAACCTGTTATCATACCACCAAACCACAGAGCTTACGCTGGTGGATGGAAATTAATCTCAATGATATCACGGCAAAGTCTGTGTCAAAAAATATTTTACAGAACCCAACATGGTTATAAATTGTTTTTATTTATTTATTCTATTTCATTCGCATCCAAAAGCGAGTAACTTGCCAATTACAGGATGGAAGACGCTTAAACAAAGTCTCCACTCCCTAAGGCTTACAGAGTGGAGTTGTTTTCCAGTAAACAATTTTCTGTTAGTTTTACAACCCTAAAAATTGAATTAGGCTGATACAGCTTTATAGGGTTGAAATATTTGTTGTGGTTTGGTGTAGATAATTAATTGGGCTCTGTATTAGGTTTATCTGCAGTAAGTATATGCAGTATATATTTTAGGTAAGGCACAGAACTGTACTGTACATGCAGATTGTACTTACCTCTACATCCAGACTAGAGCGAAGGTGACACCTGGTATGTGGGAAGTTCAGGAGGTGCATGATGGTCATTATTACAGACTCATTGATCCTGTCAATCTGTGAGTCTAAGATGTTGCGTATAAGAGTAGCAATACCTCCAGCTTGTGCAAATACGTCAGTGTTTGTAATTGCTGTGGGGATACACAATACAGTTGTTTATTTGTTCAAGTTGCTCCTAATCTTTCTAAGCTATGATAGATTTATCACAATGCTATACACAGTTTGTTTTATGTTGACATTAATGTTTAAGCATGAACAAATAAAATCATGTGTTAATACTATTTTATTATGTGTATTCTTATTTGTATTGAAAGGTACAGTAGCAGCTTTGTCTGATTAGTTGCTGCTTCAATTTTATCAATTTCATCACATTTTTGGTTAATGTACTCATTTTCTATGTCACCTAGTTTTTTAATATTAATTTTTTTTTGACAAGAATGGAATGGGATTAAATCTGTAATTGGTGAAGACACAGCCCATGATACAAGTATGTACGGTATGTATAATTACAGAGATTGTGCATGTTTACTTGCTATAATCCATCACAATTGTTAAAAGATGCATGTATTGTAGGTTTACTTATATCTATATGCAGGGGAAGACTTGGGCCCCCCCCCCCCTTTTAGAAAGTAAAAAAAAAAAAAAAAAGAAAGAAAAAGAAAATATTGATCGCTCAAAACGCATCAGAAGTTATTATCAGCCATCTAGGTAACACAAATTCCAAATTTCGCGGAGGCATGCCTACAGACCCTGAGGGTGGTATTATCTTGATCAGCCTTGCTTTCGATTCATCTTTTGGACACCTCTGGATCCGCCCCTAATCTGCTTCAAGTATTTAGTACTTGTTGTGGACATATGGCTTTATTGCTGTGCTGCAATCTTCACACTACAGTATATTTGTTGTGAGAACTTACCTAACTCACACAACGTTGCTAGACAAGCACGCTGCATTCGATCTCTTTCAGATTCACCGTCGTTGGCAATAGCAACCAAAACATTTGCTATGGATTGTGGAAACAGTTCTGGAGCTACAGCAATAATCTAAAATGATGTATATTTTATTTAGTTTTAATTCTAAAAATGTATATTTTAAAGATCAATAAAGTAGCCCTGAAAATTTAGTGTGTTTAAACTCTGAATGGAATTAAATGTAAACTGAATTCTACTTGTTAATTTACATTTTGTACATCTAGATATCAAATGGACTACATAGAGAAGCTGTCTGAATATAAATTAATGAATCATTCAAGACCCAGATACAAACAAATGAGCTCACTCAGTCTGTACGTAAGCCAATGCATCCTCAACTCAGTGTAAATGGAAGTCAACATTCATTAAATCAACAGGATGCATGCAAGCCACCTTGCTATGCACTGTTAAGCCTGCCAAGAATACAACTGCATGAGCACACCTTATTTATGTGTGCTCAGGGAGTCGAGGCCTGTTGCCACCTGGCCCGTTACCAGGCCTTTGCCACCCTACCCGTTGCCACCCAGTACTTTGACACCCGGCCCGTTGCCACCCAGCCCATTGCCAACCGGCCACAGCGCCTGTTGCCATCCCTAGTGTGGGAAAAAGCTGAATGGCCTGGAAGCCAAAAGGCAGGGTGAAAACGGGCCAGAACACATACCTGTATGGCCCATATCAATTTGAATACAGTTGAAAATGTACTGAATATAAAATTTGTTATTTTCTTAAAACTGAATCTTAAATCTTTATTTTAGCTCTTCCCCTTGACTCCGTCAGGGGTTTTTCGCCGACCTCCATAAACCAGTTGGTACATTTTTGCAAATCCATGCACCTCCCTCCCCCCCTCCACCTCAATGGCAATCATGGCTAAGGCCCTTGTGCTAAATATACCATTGATAAACTCACTGTCCATTTGAATGCACTGTACACTATAGCTATCCTAGCTATGCAATCCACATGTGGAAATCTCTACCTATGTCAACATAACAAACAATCGAGTATTGGGATATGTGAAGGAAATTAATAATTTCCATAAATTAAGATGTGTCTACTTGAAAGCACGGGGCTTGTTTATACAAGAGAATTTGACACAGTTTTGACAGCCTAACAAGATACATATGCTTCAATTAACTTAATTACAACATATGGAACATTTGACAAGAATTTAGCTGTTTGTTATCTGGCTACGAGGCTGTTTAAAAGTGACCTAGAAATGAAAGAACAATACCCTCAACCAGACAAACAACATGTCATCAATAGATAATAGATAATGCTACACTATACTATACTATATAGGACTTAGTAGAGTAGACATACTTCTTGAGAACTAGATGATAGCTTTAAAATGTCTTCAAAGTCTTTTATACTGTTCACAGCCTTTTTTTTTTTTAAAGCAAAGACTAGTTATTATTAATTTGAAATAGACAGTGGCTAGGAATACAGTATCATAAGCTTTCACGGTAATGTTGATTGTCCCTAGCTGTTGCCAACCTTAACCATGACCGAGACCAATGCTACAACACCTCAGACACTTTAAAATATGTGGGTCATATAGTTGGATGTGGCTTTATACTTTTTAGAAGGGCAAAATCTAGATGTAAACAGAAAAATAAAGTAATAAAAGAAAGCCACATTCATTGATTAATAAGAAAAATTATAGCTTCCTCCTAGAAAGCTTAAAAAAATAAGCTGTGGATAGCGAGTACCTGTGTCACAATTGTAGCCGACTAAGCGTTAAGATCGCTTACTATAGACCACACAGTTATTTATACAGTTGCAGGATATCAATCAGGAGGTGTACTGTTTTAATACAAATGGTCCTATCTGTCTCTTATACACATCTAGATGTGTATAAGAGACAGGTCTACCTCTGTTTGGCCAGCCACATTAGAATTTTCAAGTTCAACTGTTTTTCTTTCAGTGAAATTTACGTCTTTTCTGAACACAACCATTTTGTTTAGTAACTATCGACTGTATCAATTATTCAGTACTCTGACATCCAAATGCATACTAACAACAAGATCAATAATTCTAAATCTAAAAGTTCCATCTAGGATTAGAACAATAATCCATCCTGTTGTGTTCCATGAAGGCTAGGAAATAAGAAAAACAGTACTAAATCCTTAACAAATAGTTTTCAAAATATTATGGAAAAAATGAACAACAAATGGCTTAGCTCTGTGTGTATTTAAAAAAATCCTCAGAATATTTAGTGCAAAACAGTATCTTCTGTACATGTGTAGGCATCATCTGTTTGCAGAATCCAAAATAAGTTTCAAGGCAAAAGACAATTGAATAAGCATCAGAGTCAGCGACGTCTGAAAACAGCAAACAGGCTTTGACTGCAACTGCAGAGAATTTTCATAGGAAATACAGGTCCCAGCAGTGTTTTTTCCTTTGGTTCAAGGTGGCTAAATTATAATAAACCAGCTGATGTAAGTTTTCTACAATAATCTCAGCTAACTTTCAAAGTGTTTCTGCCATTTTCTATTGTGGTAAACCATAGAGATTACAATAATACCCTCATGATTAAGTTAACATGTTGAGATGATGTTAGCAACGGCTACATAGATTCAGTAATCAGGCTGTTGATCCACCAACACCAATAACTTGATGGTGTGACCTTTGCTCTGGGCAGGGTACCTACTATCTCTTTTATCATGCATTTATATTCATTGTCAATATTTGTTACTATGATATTCCTAACTACTGTATACTGCAGTTAAATTCCAGGCCACAATCCACCAAGATGCCTTTGTTCTATACATTTAAACCTATTTGGTTTTTATCCTTTAAAAACATTTTGTGTGGGACAATTTATGAGCTGGGCTAGAAAAAACACCATAGATTTCAATAAATAATATTATTATGATTAACAAACTTTTGGCACAGTTCACATGCTAATTCAAGACCACTTCCAGGGCCTAGAAATTTCTGGTGTTCTCAAGGTTTGGTCACTAATTAGAAACACAAAATAAATGATAGTCACACTAAGATTGTAAGACCAATGCTATAAGTAAAAATAAATAAATAATAAATAAATAAATAATAGTAATAAATAATAAATAATAAATAAATAAAATCTTTAACTAAGACCGCGCCCAAGTATTGGAAACAAACAGTCACCCACGTGTGATCACGCAAGTGTGATTTTTGATTGCTGATGTGTGTACTTGTTGTAGGTTATACACATACAAAAAATCTCATAAATTTGTGAAATTACTGACAAAAATAAAGTTTCTACAGTACAGCCTTTTTTTTTTTTAAAGCAAAGACTAGTTATTATTAATTTGAAATAGACAGTGGCTAGGAATACAGTATCGTAAGCTTTCACGGTAATGTTGATTGTCCCTAGCTGTTGCCAACCTTAACCTTCTTTTATCATGACCGAGACCAATGCTACAACACCTCAGACACTTTAAAATATGTGGGTCATATAGTTGGATGTGGCTTTATACTTTTTAGAAGGGCAAAATCTAGATGTAAACAGAAAAATAAAGTAATAAAAGAAAGCCACATTCATTGATTAATAAGAAAAATTATAGCTTCCTCCTAGAAAGCTTAAAAAATAAGCTGTGGATATAGCGAGTACCTGTGTCACAATTGTAGCCGACTAAGCGTTAAGATCGCTTACTATAGACCACACAGTTATTTATACAGTTGCAGGATATCAATCAGGAGGTGTACTGTTTTAATACAAATGGTCCTATTTTGTGATACAAAATTACAGTTTAAAAATTAACACGTTGCATATTAATAAAATTGAAAAGAAACCTAATTACAATTTACAAATATGATAAAAAGCTTCATCTAAAACAGAGGATACATACTTTGTTAAAGTACATTGAAAAAGTTAAAATCACAAGTACAGTAAATAAGGTAATAAAATTATTGATAAAAAAAAGCCTTAATCAAATAAATATTAAAATTAGGCCTACTAAAATTCAGTAGTACTGTAGGACCCTAGGTAGTAAAAAGATTACCAAAATTGTTTTAATGTAGGCCTAAACAAACTTAGACTGAGGGCCTAGGGCTTCGTGTTTGACTTCAAGTTTGAAGTGTTGCGGAGCAACCTACCAAAGTCAAAGCTTAGTCATAGCATTGATATTACAAGTGAGCCTGTAGCTATATATAGGCCCTAGACTAGTTTGCCTACTCTCTACTTCCTACCAAGCCCAGGACCTCTAGGCTGAGTAAGGGCTGTCCCAATTGGATTTCTTCTCTTTTGATTTGAGTTTACCGTACGGTGTACCTCTTCTAGCCTAGCCTTGGCCCTAAGCTTGACTCCAGTCTTACCTTTTCTTAGATCTAATTGCACCTCTGTATCTCCACTATCGTGACGACCTGTCAGACAGAAATAGGATGTTAAGTTTCTTGAACAATTACACACAAATCATCTTTTCAAAATATACAGAAATATATGAATACATAATTATACCAACCTCTTCCTCTCCGAGAGGACCGAATTCGTAACATGGGCGCCGCCATGTTAATAGGAAGTACTTGCGCATGCGTATATTGAGTAGACTAATATGGATGATAAACAAACAATTCAACAATTACCAATGAATGGCAATTCAATATCAATAATAATATAAATCATAATCATCATAATGATAATCATAATGATTACAAATACTAATGACTCTCTTGAATTTTCGGTTTCTAAAATTGGGTCCGACAAGGTTGTTGGTGTAGGAGTCCTATGTCACCATTAGTAGGCAAATAGGAATAAATTAATCATCATTAATAATAATAATAATATTTAATTATCATTAATTATTTTCATTTTTGTTAAAATGCTGTTTCTTCTGGATGTTCTTTTCTTACCTTGTTTGCATGCCCTCCGTTTTTTTTAAATTGTATTTTAATATTCGATACGGATTTGTTTACATTTTGTGGCGATTCTTCGCTGTTGGAGGAAATAAGCAGAAATAAATAAAGGTAATAATAATGATATTGAAATGTTATTCAAAAAGGCTACAGATTAATTTCATTCATAAAAATCAATTATTAGTAACTGACAATTTTAACGGAGTTCCAATAGGCCTACTGCGATTTGCCTTTCCCACATTCTTCTGTATGATCAAGGGTAGACCTACCTTAAAAAATATCTTTAAAGACGTAAAGCACCCGAACACACGTACCTTGTGCCGCCGCATTTATCTGTAGCTCCCCTGTTAAATCTAGATCGGAAGCGATTCATAAAAAGGTACTACTACGTCCAGACCCAATATCTTGAAAATGTACTACACATTCAACACCAATAGCAACAAAGAGAAGTTAAATCTCGCCGATTTTGCTTCTAAAATAATTAATTTTAGTTAAGCTTTTATAATTTTTGCACCAAGAGATACTACTTTATTAGATTTTAGTGTGTTCTTTTCACCGTTTTATTCTTTGTGTTATTAAGAATGAGATTAACTGTTCTCTCCCGAAAGGAGTCCGAGAAATAAAAGTATATTGTCTATGTGGAGCTCGGATGGATATCAGTGGCGGATTCAAAGGGCCTACCGCCCCCACCCCCCAACCCTAAATTGTTCAAATTGAAAGAAAAAATTGAGAAAACGATAAAAAAAAAAAAAATTCTACTGAAATTTTGAGTATAAGAGTACCATTTCCGGCCACCTAGAGGTGCCATAATTATACATTTTCGTAACCCAGCCCCAACCACCGCGGTAGTATAGACCCTATATCTTTGAAAGTCCCTCTCTGGCCTTCCTCTATTTCAAACGTCTCCGCCATTGGATATGGTCTCCAATCAAAATAACTTTTGCCCTTTAAATAAGAGGCCCTTCTTAGCAGGGTAATTGATAAGCACACACCGTTGGCCCAAATTCACTCTTCTCCCCATTGAACACAATTGTGAATTTTATGAATTTCCAGAGGTATACACTTTTATATTGTTTAAATGATGTTTGTTTATGTTAAATTAATATAATTCATTTTTTATGTTAAACCTCAATCATATTTTATCAGTGATGATTGCAATAAACATTTTCGTATTCGTATAAAGTTGTTTCGTATTCGTAAAACGAGTCTGATGATTATCTCAATACACTATAACGAGAATATTTATTAAAAGAAAACTCAGATGACATTAAGACAAACGAAAGGTGAGATGATGTTCAAAATCATCCCTCAGGTTGTCACTTTTTAAGCCTCATCTTGGATTAGAACATTAACTTTCTGATACGCTGACCTTGAGGTGGCTATATTGAAAATACAAACTTAAATCAAATAGGGGCCTACCCTACCAATAAGTTTTAAAATATCAAGTTGGTTTGAAAAGTGCGTACCCAGTGGAATTAAGATGAGAATATCCGTAATTACCTTTTAGTCTGCCCAGTACTAATATACCTACTGACGAATTTCTACCATGAAAAATTTATACGTTACAGTGTAATGCATTTATTAAAACAAACGATGATTTCGAAATCCAATATTTTTCATTTCTTATTTTTGGGCTGTTTATCATTGTTATTACTTAGCAGAATTTTTTTTTAAATTATTAATATTTCTTTAGGCACACAATACATGTGCCAAGGATTGTCAAGAGCGAATATATCACTATCCTACTGTAGGTGACAATCTTCGACAAGTTGACAATTACCTTCACTTGACAGTTTGAAGTCACTACTCAAAACGCACCTTTTTTTAATAATCTCTCTTTTTTTTTTAATCGATTGAGTTTTGGAAAAGGATTATACAGCACCCAAAAACAAACAAAAAAAAAAAAAGAAAAAAAGAAAAAAAAAAAGAAAAGAAAAAAAAAACACCTGGAACCAACATGGCTGCCAAAACACCATTCCTTTTTTTTCACTATAATCCTATCTTTAGAAACGTCACTCTCATTGGGAAATATCAAGAAGTCTCGATTTAAAACAAAAATAAAAAGCCATTTAAAGTCAAATTTGTAATAGGTTATTGCAGGGAGTTGTTACTATAACAACTCCCTGGTTATTGTTATATTTATTGTGTTTTTGTTGATGCGATGTTGGGGTCCACCCTGCCTTTGTCGCTGGGATGTATAGGCCTATTTACTGGTGTACAGTATTTAGATTATAAGTCTATAATATATAACTAGCTGAGTACGGTTAAATCACTAGAACCTTTACATACTGTACCAGATTTCAAAGTGTTCATTGTGATTATGGACAACACAACAATTATATGGCTATAGGTCCATCACTGATCGTGAAGACGTCACATTCATCATCATCATCATCATCATCCTCATTGCATCGTTTCTGTTGTACGTGTCGAATATCTGAGAGATTATACAATTCAAGACTACTTAATATATGCATATTTGTGAATACCTCATAGCTTTTTATCATCTTAACGAGTCTGAAAAAGAAGAAAAAACAACACACTGTATCTTATTTGGCAGTTAATCCAAAAATCTTTGATAAATACATTGTTTTTAAATTTAATCATTTAAATGATAGCAGTTCCAGTATTTTACGATACACTGTACAATGGTAGAAGACTGCAGGCCCGTAACCAGGGGGGGGGGGGGTTCGGACGAACCCTGCCGTTTGCTAGCTGGCTCCGCTTGGATTGGCAAAAAAAAAAACTCGAAAGAAGATTGCTTAAACTTAAAAAAAAAAAAAAAAAAAACAATCCTGTTCAAATAATCTTTATAGACAATAGCAACTTTTATTACAAGTTTCAAGATGGAACTCTTATTTACGTGGTCAGCACAATTGGTTGGTCGTTAACATCTTTAAAAGGCTCCACTTTTTTCAAAATTTGAACCCCCTCAAAAAATCCTAGTTACGGGCCTGGACTGGACAGTTGAAATCTAGCGAATCATCCGTTTGAGTCTGCGATAACAATTTTCCTGGACGTTTGAGGCAGTGAGAATTGTTATCGCTCTGGCCACAACAATATCGTCTCTATCACCTCCCCGAATCAGCGATAATCTCAGGAATATTTTTTGTATCAAAAGTCATGAGACCCTGAATTATGGATGGTATGGTTTATAATAATAAATAACAATTACTTTCATATGGTGTTTGTGCAGTATAAGTTTATTGAATGGGGGGAGTGAGCTGGCTATAGATCACCGTGGAAGAACTAAACAAATTGCATCATTAACATCATATAGGTATTATGAAAATATATTATTAGTGTTTGTAATATTATTATTATTATTGACGTTACAATTTATGTTACCACAAATGTTACAAACAGTAGCACACTACACATGTTTCCAGTATTCGCAGCTGCAGGGCTGAAGTGCAAGTTACAATAGCACACCGTTTTTGCCCATGAAAAACATGTGCTCTCATTGGATAAAAGATAGGGTCTCCCAGTGTAGGCCTACGGCCCAATCACTGATGGACCACACTGGAAATAAGACTTTAGTGGGTTATCCTTGGCGTTCACGTTGGCCGTATTCGACTAGTAGTTCTTCGTTAAACCACGCCCACCTGCGCAGTGGTAAAATCCTACTTAAAGAAGACGACCTGTTGAATAGCAACAGGAAAATTTTTGACAAAACAAAATGGCTGCATAGGTACCGCGATACACGCTGCATATAATCAAGGCTGCTTCGGATTGTGGCAGTATGGGTTTTTCGTAAAAAAATGTTTTCAGCCAGTTTTTGAATTCTGTTAGCCTACAATTATTCTTTGACTTCAATGTGGGTAAATATTATAATTTTTATTTTCTGAAATTTAATCTAAATTATATTAACACAAATGTTGTTGCTAAACTGACCAATCGGCCGTATTTTTTTGGTCACGTGCATAACTTAACGCTGATTAACGCATTCTGGTTACATTAATTTTCGTTGTCAACGAAGTTATTTTACAGCCTCAACATTATGGAATTCCCCCATGGGACTTGAGTTTGTGTTCCATATGTGCTTCATCCAGTGATCCGGGGGTAATAATGTAAGCGCATAGAGGTCCCTACAATATGCGCTATATACCTCGACAATTTTTATTATTATTTTACAAACCAGTTGAATAAAAATAATATGCAACGAAAATTCGTACTCAACGAAATAGTCGAATAAGCCAATTGAATAAAACCAATCCAATCAAAAGCACTTGGGGTGTTATTACCCATGTCTGGCCATTAGTTACAACTGAAAAACAGTACAAAGTTTGCTATAAAACTACCAAGTTGAGAAAAATTGATATATATATATATATATATTTATTGCAGCAATTGACATATTGTACATTACAAATATACAAATTCAAAATATTTTGTTTATATACATAACTTTTGTTTGCAGTATAATTACAAATAAAAATTTAATCAAGCATTACATTTGTACAATAAAGCATTATATAATTAGCACCAATTGTTTATGTGAAATTACTAAACAAATTTGTTTCAGTTATTTAACAATAATATTCAAGTAGAAAGAATCATATAATTATTTACGTTTTCCTTTGAAAGTTAGTATAGTTAACTAATGACATTCAAAATTTAAGATGAAAGGATGTAGTGGTAATAGACATAAAAGGTAAAAAATAGTAGATAAGGCAACAGAAAATGTGGTAAATAATAACCAACCAACTGATCTTCAAAAAGCATTTTAAAGTGTTAAACTTTCAAAGTAAATACATTACACAACGAATTAATAAGCAGAGCCTAACAATCTAAAACATATTATTTTGGAATCATCCTATACACCACTTTCTGATGACCAGTATTATACAGTATATATAGTATTATCAAAGAACTTAATAGCAGAAGAATGAGCTGTTCCACGTATTTGTATTAAAATTGATGGAACATCCGCCCTCTTGCGAGTGGGGTAAAATTTGACCATTTGACTTGTGGAGAAAATACAGGAAACAAACGAACCCGAGCGGTGCCTTTATTATCAATATTTAGCGAAACCGCGCAAACGGGGTGAAATTGTTCTCCGTGTACCCACAATGCATTTCGAACGGATGTTCCACTATATTGGGAAGCTGCTCTATCTTCTTCTATTTATTATCTTTGGTATTATTACAGTATCTTTATAAGGTAACCATCATTTTTCCAATATTGGTAACTTGGAATGTTTATAAATTAGAAATATTTAATTAAAACATGTAAATTCTATTAAATGATGAATATGAAAACATCCGATTAACAAATATGCATAAATTATCATAATATTATATGCATACAGTGTTATGCATAATTAAATTCATTTGCTTTGGAATAATTTGTTCCATATTAAAGTATAAAAAGAAGCCTTAATTATCAATAGTTGGTGCAAATGGTTTGCATCCACACTCCAACCAACTGTCTACCAATCTGAGCCAACAGCCACAAAATGACTGGCAAACAAGGGACATTATTGTAGCCACATTACTGTTTTTTTGGGGTTGGAAATTTGAACCAGTGGCGGATCCATAAGGGGGTGAAAGGGGCAATTGCTCCCCTGAATGTACACCATCCAGCTGTTTTAGTTGTGAGAAAGAAACTTGGTGACAATGGTCACCCCTGACTCTGAGATTGGAAGGCAAGCATCTTAATCACCAAACTATTGAACTCTACTCAATCAACAGAGCAGGATTTCAACCAAGGACCATCAAATTGGAAGGCAATCATCTTAACGACCGAACTATTCAACTTCACTCGATCAACAGAGCAGGATTTCAACCAAGGACCATCAAATTGGAAGGCAAGCATCTTAAACCACCAAGCTATTCAGCTCCACTCCACTAACCATTTGTAATACCCAAGAGGCTAAAACTCCAGATCTTCCAGTGTGAATAACCCCCTTAACCCCACAATGGATAAGGAAACACTTGCAACACGCCAACACTCGCAACACCATATGTCTTCTATAGTTACTCACCTCCCCCTATTCAAAACAATATTAATTATTATTATTACTGTGTACCTATTGAATATTTTCATCTTTACTTGCATAGATATATCAATGGTTATCTTTGATGTGGCTGGAATCTCTTCCAAATTCTTGATCTTGACTAGAATCACTTGACATCTTCAACCAAATTGTCGATGGCATCCCAGTTGATGTTACTGAGGATGCTACTCCAAGAAGCTATTTCTATCCAGGTCCTTTATATTGACATGGCTTAAACCATTTGATATCTGTAAAAAATTTGTCAATGGCATCCCAGTCTATGTTACTGAAGATGATACACAAGGAAGCTATCTCTTCTAGCTGTTGATGTTGACACGGCCAAAATCACTTGACATCTGCAGCCAATTTTTCGATGGCATCACAATCAATGTTGCTGAAGATGCTATGAATAGATGCTATATCTTCCAGCTTGTTGCTGTTGGCATGGCAGTAATCATTGACACCTGCAAACATTTTGCCGAAAGCATCCCAGTCAATGTTACTTAGAATGCCACCACTACTCACTGAAGCCCTATAGCTCTTTTAATATAGACATGGCTGGAATCACATGATATCCGCAACATTTTGTCGATGGCATCCCAGTCGATGTTACTTAGAATGCTACCACTACTAACAAAAACCTTCTAGCTCTTTGATGTTGACATGGCTGGAATCACTTGACACCGGCAACCATTTTGTCGATGGCATCCCATTCAAAACTGAGGATACTACCACTACCCACAGAAGCTATTTCCTCTAGTTCCTTGATGTTGACAGACAAAGTGTACTCACTGTACTGGTCATCCAGGTTTACATCACCTAGTTCATCATCAGATGGGTACAAACTGGCTGAAATCTGAAGGGAAATAAAAGGAACATTATGATTATGCTTATTTAAGAATTTGTTAGATTATCTTCTTTTGATATGTATATTTCTTTCATACATGATATTTTTATTCTAATAATTGTGTTTGTGTATAACATATAGCATATAAATTTTTAGATCTGAATTTGTGTGATAATCGAAGTAAAGTTGTCGCTTATGTCACACTACATGACACCTCTTTGTTACTAGGCAATGCTACTCTGGCCGTCGATACGCCTGAGTGCCTACTGCACAATTCTAAATTGTGATATCTAAAATTGTGCTTTGAAAAATTACATTGCTTTGCAGTTTAATGATTACAGTGAAAATGCTGTAGTGTCACTGTATTGATTTATGGAAACCAGGATTAAAATAGTTGCTCAGTCAATAAGCAGATCTACTCCAACATAGAAACTTACTCTATTATACTTTTTCTATAAATACAAAGCTCTTGGAAATTATTTTCAAATATGATATGAAAACACTTTATTACAATAAAATACAAATTGAAGTTTAACAATAAAAATACATTATAAAATATCAATATAAAATGTGCATCTTTATATACCAGAGCATATTATCACACAGTATACCATCATTATTATTATCACTATACATACCCCAGCCATGCTATCATCTTCTCCAAGGATTCTCTTTACGCTGTCTGATAAACTCCAAGGACTAGCCTCACTCACTGATTGGTCCTCCAAGTCATATGACCTTCTTTCTCGGTATGGGTGGTGTCGTGGAGATGGAGTTCGTAGAGGGGGTGCTTTGTAAGCCTGGTATGTTCCTCTTGGAACAGGTTCTGTAATTAAATATTGGAGGTAAGCTAACATAAATTTAAAAGATTTATGTTCATGAGAATCTGTGTAATAATAATAATATAATAACAAATAAGATCAGTTATCTTTGTCTTTTCTTTTTATACCCAAACACCTGAATAGTGAATTATCATTCAAGATTCAACTTATACAAACAATTTGTTTTCCTATTCTCAATACACAAGAACACACGATATCATTACAGATAATTTTTTATTAAACAATTTTTTGTTTTATATATATCTTAAGGTCTGCTAATTGCATCACAAAAGTGAGCTTCTCCTAGCAACAAATAAACATGGGTCATCATGTCAGAGAATGAGGCAAGGGGTGGTCGTGCAGGGTAATGTTAGGGCAACCACTGGTGGTCATGCAAGGGTAACATCAGGGCCAGCACAGTTCGTCATGTGAGGTTGGGCAGGCATTGGTCATCATGTGAGGTCAGTTCATCTTAAAAAAAAATATACAAAAAACTTGGATGCATTTCCTAATGAAAACGGTTTCACAATCATGTTTAGCAACGTACCATAGACTGCCTGATATGGAATTTTAGTAGCTCCTTCACTTGCTTGTTTCAATCGGTTGACATATGTAGAGCATAACTTCTCTTTAGGCCTGTAAGGTAAGCCCAACTTAGGTTGAGGGCTCACTACAGCTTCACTTGCAGTGTATGTACCTGACAGCTGTAATAGTCTTTCTGTGTAAGGTGTCGATACTCTTGGTTTACCTTCTGCCTTCAGACCTCGCCTTTCAACCTGTTGTCTTCTAGTTTCTCCAAGTGTAACTGTTTCTGTTAAACCTGACAATGTGGAATATAGAAATATAAGCTAACATTAATAACTGACTAGAAAATGAATGCCTAGGCATATAGACATTTCTCACACACTACATATACACTGTACATTATATCGAATTGCGAAGCGGTTAATGCAGGAGTGCCACAGCGTACAGCCGTAATATCGGTGCAGGTGCCAACTGCATTTTTGCCTGTGGTTCTGATAGTAGATAGTCCAGATCTGGACACTAATTCTCTCCTGTGAACCTGACCTACAGTATATCAATTTATAAATCTTATTGTTATCATCATCATTGTTAATAATCAGAAGCACTAACAATAGTAGCAACTGCATGCTTGCCTATGGCTCTAGTTGTTGAACACGATTTCGGTTAAGGAGTATAAACCGTAGGATAAGTGTACACAATTTTGCACTTTGATGAACCCAGTACATAATTCAAGAAGTAAAGAGAGTAGCCCTGGCGTACTGGTTTCGTACAGCCCATTTGTGGACAGACAAGAGTAACTAGTACCAGTTTTCAGGGTAAATCAAACACAAGAAACCTTTAGGGAAGAAATAAGTTGCTGTACAAGCTAGTCCATACTTCAAGGCCTTGAGAATTTGATATAAAGCACTATATCAATCAAACATTACATTACATCGATTTATAAATCTTATTATTATCATCATCATCACTGCTAATAAGCAGAAGCATTATCAGTAATAGTAACATCAAAGTTTAATGAAAAAATGATAATTTTCATAGCACATATTTAAAAATAAACTTTAATATAATCATTAGGAATAGTTATTGGTGGCGAATGCTGAAACGACATTAACCTGAGGCCGGTGGTTTGATTGGTGTACGTGATCGCATGCCTGCGGGTCTATTTGACATTTTCTTCATTTCTTGCAACCTTTGTGTGTATGGTTTAGAATGTCTTGGTGACTGCTGCCCTCTCAGCTTTGAAGACCCTGGCAGTCTTTTCGTACCTGCAGAAGGCAAGTTGATGATGTCTGTTGAGTATTATTTCAATTATGAAGAACTGTAAATTACACTCACTTAACAAATGAATGGAAGGTAAATAAAAAATAAACATTACAAAATAGGATTACTTTGCACTCCTGAAACTTGCAAAGTTTTGAGTATAGTAAACAATAGAGCTAGCCAGGTAGAAGCTGTGAATATGATGAAGGTACACGCAGAATAAGAATAAAAAATTCTACAGAGAACGTGCCACAATATGTGCGCAATTTACCATTTTTGATGACAATCCGTTCAGACTGCAACCGCCATTCAGCAGACTGCACCATGCTTTGATAAATTTTGAATTTGCACTTTACCAATTTTGTGGTTTACAGCAGGATAAAATGTTACTACACTTCAATTTAACAGCTGTCTCAAATAACAATTTTAGTTTAAAACACAATTGGGTGGTTGGATGAGAGGTACTGTTCATGCTTCTTTTTCTGTAGACCCAGGTTCAAGTCTGATAGCTCAATCCTTTAAATAACCCTCACATGAGACGTATAAGCAGAATAAGAAACAATTTTATCGGTGGCTGCACACAGGTGCCTAGGACCAAGCCAAATTAAATATACAATTAGCATCCTCATTAACGGATACTAAGACACAACAATATGTACATTATCATTACTATTTTCATTATTACATCAAGTAAAGTAAAATAAAATTATGATGTATATAAGATATACATCATAACTTTATTTTTCTTTACTTGATGTAATTATGATGTATATAAGATAAGTTAAAGCAACCAGTTCTCACCATATAATCGTTGTTGACTTCTTATACTCTGATTCTTATTTGATGGATTAATATTTTCTTTTTTCAGATCCTGTAACATCTCTGTATATGTCTTGGCAGTTCTTGGCACATCATGACCCTTTCTGGTGACTGCTGGCCTCTGAACTTTGACCAGTGCAGTAAATGGCTTTGGTTTATACATTACTGGAGCATCATCAGCAGACGGTGTGTGAACTTGACTTTCTTTATCATTTTCAAAACTAAGATCCAAGTCATCACCAGAACTACTCAAATCACTCAATTTCCCAAGCTCCTCTAGCCTTTTCTTCTCCAATATCATCTGTAACGATGACTTCCTCTTTGTAATACCCTCGTTTGTGCTTGAACTTCGAAGAGGAACACCTCGTTCAAAACTCTCTCGAAGTTTCAAATAATATTCAGGATCAATTCTTGAGTTTCGTCTATCATCCTCATAAATCTCAGGTCTGACATTTTTGAGTCTTTCAGTTCTTTTACTCAGTTGCTTAGATTGAGAGGCTGCTCTAGTAGGCTTAGCAAATGGCTTAGGTGGCACTTTCTTAACTCTAACTTCTGGTGGTTTATCAGTTACTGTCTTCAATTGAGTCTGTTCAACAAGAATTTGATCCATCAAACTCTTAGCATGTTTTACTCTCTCATCATAGTCTTCTTCTTTTTTTGTACTGAAAATAGAAATACAGTATATCAAATATCATGAAGCTGCCTCATATTTTCATTTAATTATTTTTTTTTAATTGATGTTTTTTGAATGTTTGTACAATAAAACTAGTCTGCTCAATATTCTTTGATTGGAAAATAAAGTTTGGTTCTTGATATTAATGCAATGAATATGTAACACTCTTAGCTGAAAATAATGAGAATTTGGAGGAAATATTTATGTTTGGTGAAGATGACGATGATGAAATAATGGTGGTGATAATGATGAGGATGATAGTGATGATGAAAACGATGATGATGGTGGTGACGACGATAATGATGATGACAAGGGTGATGGTCCTGACAAAGTTCATGATGGTTTTAAGTGTGGCAATGCAAGGTGGCTGATTGAGGCCGAGATTTAACCATTATTACAATATTATCACATTATTATCTCATGACACAATTATGATACAATAATTTGATTACATATAACTTAAATGAATCATTAGTAATAACAGAATGATCATAACTTAAATGAATCATTAGTAATAACAGAATGATCAACACTTACTTCCTTTTGCTTTGTCTTTCAACTTCTGCCTTCTGTAATTCCTTTAATGATTCCTTTAAAATAAAAATAATAATAATAATAATAATTTGTATTTGTAAAGCGCAAAACACTCTTAGCTGAAAATAATGAGAATTTGGAGGAAATATTTATGTTTGATGAAGATGACGATGATGAAATAATGGTGGTGATAATGATGAGAATGATAGTGATGATGAAAACGATGATGATGGTGGTGACGACGATAATGATGATGACAAGGGTGATGGTCCTGACAAAGTTCATGATGGTTTTAAGTGTGGCAATGCAAGGTGGCTGATTGAGGCCGAGATTTAACCATTATTACAATATTATCACATTATTATCTCATGACACAATTATGATACAATAATTTGATTACATATAACTTAAATGAATCATTAGTAATAACAGAATGATCAACACTTACTTCCTTTTGCTTTGTCTTTCAACTTCTGCCTTCTGTAATTCCTTTAATGATTCCTTTAAAATAAAAATAATAATAATAATAATTTGGATTTGTAAAGCGCAATCAAAGATTAAGTCCTTCTATCAATCCTATAAAAAAATGTACCAAACTTGAAGTTAATACACATATTCTAATAATTAGACCACCACTAATTAGAACATCACTGAACTGTATCACTAACACTAATAGCTTTGGTTAACAGTCAGAATTACGAGACAAAAATATTATACTGTACATGAATTTAGAACATGTGAATAAATCTTGTAATTCTTACAGTGTTTTGAGCTTTGAATGGTGTTTTCTCCATTTCTCTTAATTCACCGAGCTTGTTGCGATAATCTGCAATAGCTTTTTCTCGCTTCTTTTTGGTCCATTCTTTCAATTTTTTTTGCTGTTGCTCAGTTCTCTTTGAGGGCTGTACAGTAGATGGCCATGGTTCTTTCTCATCATCATCTTCTCGAGGAGTTTTTAGAAGCTCTCTGATCTGCTTTGAATCTAAACTAGTGAAATCTAAATCTTCCACTTCTTTATCAATGTTTATTTTTCTGTAATATAAAGCAAAAGTATTAATCAATCTTGTCCATACCCAGTACTGTCAGATTAAAAATTGACGGAAAAACTACTGGTTGTTGTCAAATTTGATATCAAAGCAATGGAACTTCCTAATTCACATGCTCTAAACAGACATGCATTTTGAGCCATGTATCCACGGAGTCCAGAGTTTGTGTTGATGTATTCCTTTGTTTATATATTTGACCTCAATAACAAACTAAATACAGAAAAATGGTAGGGGCAGCACAAGCACATGAAGCTTTGAAGTCAGCTGTCTCTTATACACATCCACACTCATCTCCTGCTTAGAATAGGAGCAGCTCACACTACACATGTGTGAAAAGCAAAGCCGCTAAATGGTTTTTATTTTAATTTACATAAATCAATAAGTACTCAGTAAGGGTTATGCTGATTAAATCAACACTCACTGCCTTTGTATTCTTTGTCTTGCTGCTTTCCTCTGTTCCTTGGAAATTCCCAGAGCAGTGGCATTCAAGTCACCATCTACTATGACCTCAGCGATTATATCACTAACACCACTTATGCCTGATATTCCAAGAGTGTCATCTAATGTGGTGTCCATTTTGCTACAAAAGCAAAGAAAATGTCAATCAAAATGTAATCAATTGAGAGCAAGATATCCTGCTTAATGTGTATTTCGACAGTCAATGGCATATAATATACTGTATATATCTTGGTGTCTTTTGTTCAAAATCTAAAAAATAAAATCAGGTTGGCAAAACAGAGTTCCTTAGCAGTTGAAAGCTGAATTAGGGACACTCAGCAGCCAATAAAAAAAACATCAGTCAAATAATAAATAAACATTTTGGTCATCAATATATGCATTTGTATCATCCTGGGTTTGGAGCAATTAATGGTAGTGCCCTCATAGGCCATTCTTCCACAACATTTAGCATAATGAACTCCACCACACCTACACTGTAAAGTAGGTTCTTAAAGTCAATATTGACAAGAGCTCTTTTCTTCTTAAAGATCTTGATTTTTTTTTTTTAAATATTGCTTTAAAACACATACCTGATAGCTAGATCATCTTTCTTCTCTTCATCTGTACCTGTAACATTCCTTTCCTGTCCTTCATGAATCTCTTCAACAGTTGGTTCTTTATCTTGAGGTAGGATTCCTTGCATATCAGATTCTTTTTCATCTCCAGGTAACCAATGCATCTCCGGTTTGTCATTTTGCCTATTTTCAGGTAATAGTTGAATTCTTTGCTTGTCATCTTGTTTTTCTTTCTTTTCATCGTCACTGAACGCATCTAGAATTTGCACTTTCTTCTGAGGCTGCTGTGGTGTTAAGAAATCTGTGATGGTTTCGACATTCTTCATAAGCTATAAAGTATAAATAAAAAACAAACGAGAGTCATAAAACCCATCATAATCCACATGAATAACGGTGGATGTCTGAACATATATAAGCACAACAATAAATCATGTTCCTATTTTTAAGTAGTGTAGAGAGAAAAAAAAACTAAACTTACTTCCTAATTCAATTAACTTTTACTTTTGAATGTAAAAATTAAAAAAAAAACCCCACAAATATTGAGTGTTTCCAGGAATATTAATCATGATGTACACCAAACTAAATATTAAAAAAATTTAATTGAACTTACTTTATTAGTTCCCTGCAGATCTTCTTCCATTTGTCTACTCATTTCATCAATCACCTTCAATTGTTCATCCATCTCCATCAGCTGTATATTCATCCTCTTCTTGTAACCTTCCCTTTCTTCATCACTTATTGCTTTGATCTTCAAAAATTGTTCCCTGAAATGGAGAACAGTAGTATGACAAAATATGTTGTTATTTATTAACACGATTATTTATATACTTTCATAAAAATCTTGAATATAAATTTCACTAATGTTGTGCACATTAAGTTTTCTTTATGTAAATATCAATCAATTACCAATAACAGCAGAAGAAGAGCAAGAACAACATTTTTATTATCAGAAGATATCAGTATAATTTCAAATGAAAAAAAATCTCTTTACTTGTTTAATCTCTTTCTTGCAGCCAAAAGTTCTTTAGTGAGAGGGTCAGGTCCAGTAGGTGAATCCACTTCTGGTACTTCACGTGGAGATGTCAGGCTAGGTTCCCTTTCTCTGTTCCTCAGGGCACTGTAGTGTACAGATGCAATGGAAGGTTCTTGAGATCTTGGATGTTGGATAATCTCCGGAGCTGGTTGCTTCCTAATGGGAATGTCATCTAGCAGTCTGCTGCCCTCTAGGTCTACAACGCTTATGAAATTTCTTCCGGATTGGGAAGCCTAAACAAAGAATATATCAGTATGAAAAATAGGTTTTGTTTGATATGGTTACTGTCAATAAGAAAGGATAACCCATCAAATACTTATTTCAGGGTGTTGAATTTAGCAGAACCCAGGGACAATTTCCTGCACTTTTCTAAAAGAGGATTAAGGAAATTAAAAAAAATATAGGTGTGTAAGAATCTGGACCCAGGACTGGAAGGTCACCATTAATAGGGTCTGCTCCTTATAAGCATGATTTAGGGAATTTTCAAAAATATTTGTGATTAATTTTAAATAGTTTTAAAAGATTACTTACATTTGGGGTGGTCCAATTTCTGAACATGGCAATTGTTAGTTTATCTCAATAAGATAAACAAAATATTTTAAAAGTTTTATTCACAAGTTTCTATTAAAAAAAACACCATATACATTTTCTACAATAGTAACAAGGGTAGCGACAGTAATTACGACAAGAAAGCAGTTAATATTCATTCATTAACATCAGGTTTAAACTATGTTACTACCACTTTGAAATATCATCTTTTGTGTCAGGTTTCATCAAAGATGAAAAAAGGAAACATGTTGGTAGACACATGCATTCTAAACTCACCCCTGTGTCTGGACTTGTTGCTTGACTTTCAGACGTCCTTTCAAATCGAAGGTTGAAGAAAATATCTGGGGCAAGTACTTTACCTGCGTTGTCTAGACCAGTCTTGGCAGTAGTGTATGCTGATATAGCATCATCTAAAGGAGTAATATTAAACAATTATAAACACAGAGACCACATATTTGCACCATACAAGGTAACGTATTAATTTGTTTTTTACAGAAATATGCGCAGACAGAGGAAAAGGTGGAATATTGTATTATGTACAGTCATGGCACCGGAGGGGGCCAGGGGTCGACAAACGACTAGGTGTTGGACCAAAAATTTAAAAAAATAATAATTTGCCTATCCAAATAACGCTATTTTGATTGGCAATCCCTAATATTGTGGTCTAAAAGCACATTTAGGACCAAATTAAGCCATAAAAACTCTCCCCATGAACCCTAACAGGGATTTTTTTATTCCGGGCCATCAACCGACGCTTTGGTTTCGACCCTTCCGTCGGACACGTCGGACCCCTTGTCGGCAAATTTCTGGTGCTACCGCTGATTATGTATCAAGTGTATCTAATGAACAGGGTAATAATGTGGAGTGACCAGAACACATTATTATTATATTATAATATAATAGATGGTTCAATTGAAAATTTCTTACTAATTGCTTTTCCATCTTGATCAAGAATCAGGATACTTTCATCGTTTTCTGGTGGCTTGACCAATCTGTCAAAGTCTATTGATGTCTGAGCATTCTTCATTTCTGTTGCCATTGTTGCCGCATCAACTCTTTCTACCTGTTTAGGTTGAATACCTTTCACAGCTTTGAGATGGACCTCAGCAGATGATGGGAAGTAAGATTCTTGTCTTCCTTCTAATAGGTGATCATAAGAACCTACTTAGAAAATCAGTAAATGAGACCAAATAAGAAGTTGGTACCACTTTTATGATTAATAATAAATCATATTTCACAGGTCGTATAGGAATGACTGGTCTGAGGAGATTGGGAAACCTGATGAGTTGATGTCTTACCTTTCTTACGAAGATTCCTCTGCGACTTCACTTTATTCAAAACATCTTCTGGTTGAGATTCAGATTCCTTTACAACGAAAATGTTATATAAACTTTGTTAATACCAGAAAATATAAAAATAATAATTAATATTTATATAGTGCCTAATGTTGAAAACATCTAGGCGCTTAACAACAACATAATAAACAATAAAAATACAACAAATTAAAGTAAGCAGCGATGAAGGAAATGATGATATTCAAGTGGTCTCATCCACCAATGTCAGAATAATGTCGCTGTCTCAATGAGGAAATTTACACGCAGGTAATCCATAAAAGGCAGCATGCTGGCCTCCAGCACTTTCCACCACAGAATAGGCCTGTGGCTCCAATACCATGCACTGCTGAGACAGCTACATTACCATAAGGAAGGAAAAGGTGAGACTAAACCTGAAAACCACTATAAAAATATTGAAATATATTGCCTTATAGAAACAACCATTATCACTAGGGCTGTTTGACTCGGTTGACAGAGAATTATGACAGGGCTACGAAGGTAGATGGCCTGAATCCACATATTTTTAGATGCAAGAAATAAACATCATTCTAAAACAAATATTTACTTAGCATTCTACCTATTACTTTGTAAAGATATAATGATATGCAGAGCTTTACAAATTCTCACAAATTCCTGATTATCAACACACACACAGTCAGTTCAATTATCAAATATTCTTTTAAAAATTATTTAGTAAAAAAAAAACAATATCATCTCCATTTTGTTTATTTACCACAGAGGGAGAGAGGGTTATATCAGTACTGCTCGGTGTTTCATTTTTCAAAAATGGTATCAAAATTTCTTTCTTTTCCTCATCTTTCGCTTTTTTGCTTTCTTTAGGTCTCTTTGTTGGTTCCTTTGGTAATTTTCTACGGTTTGGTTTTTGCCCATTTTGTTTAGGTTGAATTTTGGTATCACTTCTACATGAGCTGGATGACTTCAGACTGGAACTGTCTTCATCTTTTGGTGAAACTCTGTGGTGCTGTCTCCTACGTCGTCTATTAAAAAAACATATAATCAAAATTAATAAATATCATAGAAATTAAGAAAGGCAAAATTCATCTGTAAATTATAAGAAAAACGAAGAAAAGATTGAAAAAATGCTGACCTGGTCTGACTTTCATCAGAATCTAACTTCCGCTGGACATTCAGAAGGGGCATTGATACTTTGTCTGGTGGTTCGTCCTTGTTGTCGATATGCTGGACAGGATCTACCTCATGAGGATGCTTTCCTCTAAGTCTTAGCTTCAGACTGTGTATGTTCTTATCTTTTGCCCAGAAGTTTTGGAGATGTTTAGTTACATAACTTTCATGATTGTCTTTAGTTTGTTTGTCAAAGTGCAGTAAGGGTGGAACCCAAATACTGTCATAATCACTTTGTTTGTCTGATTCCACTGGCCTTGACATATCCTTAACATTTTCGCTATTGTGAGGAAAATCATTGGCATTGCCATGAGCCTGGTAATGTCCTGATGGTCGATCGAGATGCAAAAGAGGAGGAATCCAGATGCTACTGTAAACACCTTTGTCATTTCTTGGTTCAACATTAAACATTAGTTTATTTTGCAAGCCCTGCTGTTGGACAGGGTGGAGTCCTGGTGCATGTCTGGAGTCTTGTTTCAACTTTAAAAGTGGAAGTCCAGCCACATATTCATTACTTACATCAGGATCACTGTGAATATTCTGGTGATGCCAGGCTGATTGAGGAGCTACCGGAGGAAGTTTATCAGCCAAAGGCTGTCCTAACCTGAATGGCTGGGAAGGAATTTGACGAGGCTGAGTAGGAATTCTTTTAGGGTGCTGATGACCTTCAAACTCTGGAAATGATTTTCCATGTATACTATCAGAATTAATAAAGGAGAGAAGAGGCCATCCTTGAACTTCATTCTGTTCAACACTGCCATTCTGCTGAATATCAACTTGCTCAACATCCTGAAGAGTTTCCACCTCTTGGTTTTTAAGGTCTTCAATATTTAATGGAGAGGAAACTTCATTTTTATCACTGTATTGATTAAAACTACCATCATCTTGAAAGCTTGGATTTCTGAGACCTGAAACAGGAAGCGGTCTGCCAATAGAATCCCGCTGATATTGAGGCTCCTTATCAGATTCATCTGATGAAATCCAAGAAAAAACCTCATCATTTAGAACAAACTCTCTTTGATTATCTAGTTCTTCTGGGGAATGAACTGCATTTTGATTACGATTACCAGAAGGAGAAGTTGAAGCACTAAATGAAAAAGTCCGATTTTTCTCAGATGACTGACTTCTGGTCAAGAACAGTTTAGATGTCTTAGAGCTTGGCTTTACAGGAAAATCTGGTCTCTTATTCACTTCACTTGGTGACTCTGGACTACTCGGTGATGACAAGCTTGGAATTGTAGTTCTCCTGGCAAGTACAGCTTTTACGCTTCGGCCAGAAGTAATGTAGACACGCCCACTTGGATGCTTAGTTCTCTGTAATGTTTTTGATTTGTCTTCGTCAATCCCTTTGGTTTGGTTTGAATCATTGTATGCCAGCAACATTGGATGTGCATCTCCTGAATATGATCCACTTGTGTCCAACATTGTCATGGTGTTTTTGTGTTGAGCCTGAGTAGCAATAAAATCACAAGAATTTGAAAATTATAGGGTTAAAATACATTCATGTATGTAAAAACAAGCAAATATAATTAGTGTTAAGAATAGAGAAATTAAGAATTTTTTTTATTTAATTGAAAATATTTTAGTAGATATGACAACAGCAGCTTCAGTCAGCTAAACTGGTGGTAGCCACTGTGCACTGAATCAAGATCTCTTTTAGACTATTTGTCCCTGCTTGTATGTGTATAATTTTATATACCTTCATGGTCCTGGTTCAATTTCACCTCTGCTTTCCAAGTGTAAGAATAGACACATGTTAATAGTGCATTAAAAGCCATTGAAATGACCAGAAGGCCCACTGGAAATATGTTTTAAGAATTTTGTGGGTTATCAGTGGTGAATTTCAGACCAAAAATCATAATTTAAATTAAATACTAACATTATTAATAATACTAACAATAACTATAATACTAATAACAATGATATAACTAATGATGGATAAATAAACCAGGAGGGATTTAAAACAGATTGACTGTCAAAAACTATTAATAGAAGAAATAAAAATTGAATTATGAATCATATCACTCAATTTAATAGGTTATATTGCATTAACTTTTTTGAGAATCATCTTACCTCAAGCAGTTTCTTAAGTTCAGCTCGAACTAACTTCCTAAATCCAATCGTTTGATCAGAATGTAGCCGGTTGATGGATGCGCATGGTGACACAAGCGGCGACTGTGGAATACTGTGTTTCCTTTCCAATGCATCAAGTCTATAAGCACAATTATAAAATTATTGTATGTATGTATGTTGTGTGTATATATATATATATATATATATATACTGTCTCTTATACACATCTAGATGTGTATAAGAGACAGCTCCTACGTCGTCTATTAAAAAAACATATAATCAAAATTAAGTAGAGATACAAAAATGATAAGCAACAGCTAAAAAGTAAACGTAAGTAAACAGCCAGAAATAGAACCAGAGCTTTCGGACAACACTAGTCCCTGTCTCTTATACACATCTAGATGTGTATAAGAGACAGTATATATTCTCTATACAGGATATATTTCAAACTCATCACACAAGCTGATAGATTTTTATGCATTGTATTTTTGTATTTTACATATTTTATTCTACATTTGCAATGGAAGTTTCGGTTAACCAATCACAACATTATATTCAATAGGCATAGCCAGGAAACAGACTGCTGTCCCACAACCCAAAAACACGTTCAAAACACACAGCCATGATTCTGCACAGTCTAGAGAAGCAATCCAATTTCATGAGAATACAGTACAAACTAGTCCAAACCTTGAGCGCTTTGAGACTTCGGTATAAGGACTATATAAATCCAACCACATATACATTATGTTACATTTTATCTTTTGTAATCTTACATGAGACACTTAGGGATAATGATTTAGGACCGCAACAAAAATATCAGGTTTTGGTTGCTGACTGACCAACTGACTCTCATTACTGAGCTAGGGGATTAGCTTTTAAAGTATTGGCATTTACAGAGCATCACCATAATCAATAAATTTCTGTTATAATAACAAAATATTACAGTCGAGTTTGTTTCATTTGTTTACCTTTAGTGATGTTTCAGTTGAGACCTCACGTGTCTGTTGTTTTCTGAGACGAGATGATTTTTTAATCTTTTCTTCATCAATTTCATCAGAATCACAATCACTCTTCTTCAATTTCTTTTCGGCAATCTCTTGTTCCTCCTTCTCTTTCTGTTTAAATGCATCGTTTGACAACTGCGATGTATCGGAATGAATTTTTAAAGATTGTGAGGTTTTTGACGACTTCTTAAACTTCCTCCTCTTTGTTTTGCTAATTTTTGAAATTCTAGATTTGGTTTCTTGGTCTTCACCATCTGGTTTCTTTAATTCACTTTCAATATTATTTGATCTTATTTCAAAACATTGAGAAGATTTTGACCGCTTCTTCATGGTAACCTTTGATTTACTCATCTTGTCTTTAGCCTCAACGTTTGAATTTTCTTTATCTAGGTCAGGTCTCATAGCGACACCAACGCGTCTATTCTTTATCCCTTGATCAATTCCATCAACATTATCAACTCTAGTACCATCAGTTGATGTTGTTTTTTCTATATTGTACCAATTTTCAGTAAGCCACATGCAATTGATCAGGAGTTGCTGTGGAAGTTCCACTCTAATTGCTCTTTCAGTTGTTTCTGATGAACTATGGGTATCAAATGGTAAGACTTTCTTGGACCACCTGGACATCCATTGCTGTACCATAACCATCTCCTTATATACTGCTCCTGGCACAAAATTTACATCTAAAAACAGTTTTTGACCATCTAATCCAAGCATTAGAGATCCCTTTGAGGATCTCAGCTTTGTAAGAGATGATCTTGATACTCTACTTGAGCTAAGAGAAGACATTCTTGATACAGCTCGAATATCATCAAAACTTTGGTTTTTTCTATATCCTAATGAACCCTTTTGGCTAAGTCTGCTAACTGGCCGTTCATCCTTTTCCAGGACATCAACCACCTCTTGTTCTGCGCCCTTGTTGTTTAGTGTTGATAACAGTTCAATGGACGGTAGCATCTTTTTCTTGAAGAAGTAGCTCTGTTTACTTCTAAACAACCCTTTTATTTTACTTGGTACACAACCGTCAGTTTCATGTGCCCCACTTCTGGTTAAAGAAAAGCTCTTTGACAAGTTTTCAAAGCATTGGCTTCGCAATAATACAGCATCGCTTAGTTCAACACAATGTTGAGGTTTTGCAATTCCAAAAGCCAGAGTACTAAGCTCATGTTGCCGAATCTCGTCAGCATAGCTCCTCAACAGAGGAATGTTGTCAGTCTTCTTAATGCCATGGTAACTCACTGACTCATCAAACTTTCCAAAAGCTACTAAGAAAAATGTCTCCAAAAAATCAAGGAAGACTTTGTTTGTTTCAAAACTGCGTGCACCAACTTTGAAAGTTGAAGCTTTTGATAATTGCTTTTCAATTGTTTCCTTGCTTTTTGGTGGTGTGCAATAAATTCCAAGTATTTGCTCCTCAACAGACCCTAAAATTTCCGTCTTACTGATCAGTGACCTTTTCTGCTTGAGGCATTGCTTTCTATAATAAACATACAAAGGTTCAAGTGTTAAAGTACTTGAGTTCTTTTTCTTTTCTGCACTTTCGTGAGCTTTCTCTTTTTTCTTCTTCAGTTTTGTCATTACTCTCTGAAACTTCTCTTCAACTGCAGGAAGCACAATCTTTGAGCTGTAGAATACTTCTCCAAGAACCTCTGCCACATCCTTTGAAGGAGGAAGGTTTGAAACTGCTGTTAGAAGAATATCTTGAACCTCATCTTCCATGTTTAGGAAGAAAGAGAAGGAATGTAAGAACTTGGACCACTGTATGATATCTTGTAGCACAGACCTTGACTTCTGCTGAAAGGTAGGGAAAGTGTTCTGAAAGTGAACAAAAATATTGCTGAATAAAATTTAATTAAAAATCTTCACAATATAATCATAATAACTTGAACAAAAATACAATCAGTAATTATAACAATAAGGCAATTTGTTGTTAAGGACAGCGCATGCTCATACCCAAGGTCAATTGTTGTGTGTTTGTATTTATGTCGATGACCTTGATACAAGCATGCTCAGTCAATTTAAAGTAACAGCAATTTTGATTCTTTAGTTTTCTAACTACAAAAACATATTTTCTATAGCACCACTTAATTAGACTTACAGCATTACTTGAAACATATAACAGTGATTCACTAGCTAGCTGGATGAGAATAAATAAAAACTATTGTGCAAAAATGACTTATTTGAAAAAGTACTGTTACTAAAAAAGCAGCACTTACTAGAGAAGAGCAAACATTCTCTTGGATAACACGATACTTTCTAACTGCCATTGTGAGTTTGTCTCTCACATTTAGCAACCACACAATTGTACAAATATCTCGAAAACACTGTAGTAGCAACTTTGTTGAAAGTCGTGTTGGGTCAGAGTTCGTTAGTAATGCCTTGAAGTCAACTGGACACGTAGTGTACGAGGCAAGCATTGTGGGAAAATCACATGTTGTGTCTTGATCTTGATCGATCTGTAAAAGTAGAAAAGACACATTCTTTTCAATTTATCAAGAAAAAAACACTAAAAAAAAACAAAAAAAAAACAACTTAAACACAGAAGAATTGTTCATTTTCTTACAATAATAAAAGACAAAATAATACATAACCTGATTTACAAATATGCAAATATCTCACATTCAATGTCTGCAAATAATCCCTACTATCTAAACAATAAAAATATGAACATGTATATATATTATGAAATATGCAGGTGTTATCAGCAAGAGACTCACACCACAGCACTAATCACTAAGAAGCATTTTGAGGGCCAACTTAACTTTATTATGTGGAACCTTCTAAACAATTTTTTTGGCTGGCCACCCAAATTTGATCATCCAAAAACTACATTTTTTTCATTTTATTAACATAGTGCAGGATACCTGTGTAGAAAACAATGCTGAGATCGAATTTATACTGTCAATACGGTAAATGTATATGTTGGATAAAGAAATAAGAATCGTTTACACTACTGTAACTATTATGCAGTTATTGTAAGTGGGTGAACTTGCTCTGTCTTTCCGTTGACTCAGCCAGCCCACAGTGTAAATAACAGGGCAATTTACAACAGGAGTGCCCTTTTTAAAATACAAAATGTATTTTAAGTCAAGGAAGGACAGTTTCCTGGATTTTGTAGGAAAAATATTGAATAAAAAAAAAATTACTGTATTAACTATGAGCAGCTGAGGTTAGAGGTGAAATATTAGTTAATACTTCAAGCCAAATTACCAAAATATTAATTTAATAAGTATTGACATAGGAGGGTCTGTACCAATGGAGCATTGACATAAATAGGGGGTAAAGTTGGTGCCTCTGGAGTTATCCCTTGGCTTTCAGATGTCATTGACATAGATAGGAGGTAAGGTTGGTGCCCCTGGAGCTATCCTTGGTTTCAGAATATGTCATTGACATTCCATTTTGTGACAAAGAGGGGCAGTTGTGGGAATTCAAAATAAGATTGGACAAGATAAAGGTTGGATTTATTCATGGTTCAGATAGTCAAAAACAAAGATCATTTTCATTATTAAAAACTTTTAGCAATTTCACTTCCGAAATAATTCTTCAACTATTTGAGAGCTGATTCATTAGTTAACCATGGATTAGATTAACCATGAACCTATATAGGTCCATGGTTAATCTAGTTCAAAATTCATTTCCACCTTTCCATTGCTTAATAAAAACAGATTATATACATCCAATAGACTAAGTCCTCCTTACACATTATTATAACACCAATAAATATTTTCTATTTGAATAAAATAATATTCATCCTCTGCATGATTTATCTTAAAATTCCCTTCAAATAGTTTATCCAATCATGCAACATTATGAACAAAAATACAATGTGTTTAACACCAAAACATCCGATTTGTTGACCTTAGCAGGTGACCTTATTTTTGCCCCGTTTCCGCAGTGAAAAATAACAAAATGGCCACTTTCGATAATTTATCTGATAATAAATGCTGAGGAAACACAGCCTTAGACTTAACATCCTTCATCTTCAGCTAAACCCATACCTTGATATTTTACATTGATACCCATGATCTATTTTCCAGAGCCCTCACATACTAAAACTTGTGCTCAACCCATTATGTCCACTGAGCACTCAAGCTTACTGGGTAGCATCTCCCTTGTAACATTAGATTTATATACTGTAAGTGGAATGCATGGCATCTTCTTTTCCCTTCCTTATACTAAGCCTGCGCTTTCTTTTTGTGAAACAAAAGTGAGCCTTCCTTTTTTAAACAGTAAGTCCTTCCTGAAGCTGAACACTCACCAACACACCTTAAAACACAACCATCACTTGTATTGAACCCTTTCGTCACAAGCACAAACCATTTCCTCAAATGGCTGATCCTGCCTTACATCTTCTAAATATAACTTTGCTAACATCCTGATTTCTAGGTCAGTCATCATGCAACCTGAAACTACACTTTACAATGATTCAAGTTGCTTGCAATGGTTATCTTGCTCATACTCAACTTATATACACTTTCATTTCTATGTTATTAATGAGTGATGACTAATGCTAATATAGTTGCAGAAAAAACAATCACATGGTTTCCAAAAACCATGAGTGTCAGTTACCACTTCACAAGCAATGTCCACTCCTTAATAGTACTTCCTTATTAACTCATTAAGATCATATAGATGAGCATTTGGCATTAATACATCTCAAAAGATTACAGAAAGTGAAACTCTTTAAAAAATATTATTTTTTGATGTGGTAAAATCTAAGCCATTTAAATCTACTGTATGGTCAATACCAAATTGAGTAGGGAGTGGTGGATTCAGAGATACGAATTCATGTGTCAACTACAATTTGAAAAATGAAACTATATTTACCAAAAAGCTTATGTATATCTCAATCAAAACACAAAAGTATTTCTTTGAGAGTAGAAATTTATAATCACTTAATAAGTTTTCAGAAATATAAGATAAATTTAAGGAAATGAAATAATTATGTTTTTAAATAAATATATTAAAAGTATAAAACAGTCATTATTGAAAGCATACAAATATAAATATTGATTTTCACAAAGGCACATACTGTAAAAATCATAGGAAGGAGGGACAGAACTCAGCACTTAAAAGAGTAATCATAAACTGATTTTCTATAGCTTTCATTCTCATACTGGACTTTCTTGACTCCTAAAAAAATACATAGTCAAAAGCTAAATGAAATACATTTTTTATGGCTAAGTCTGTAAAGTGGTAAGTTCTCTCATCATTTGTATTATTTTCATTTAGAATAATGTTGATGCACTTCATTTGTGAAGATAAACAGCACATTATATTTTAACATTCAACAACACAATAAAACAGCTGTGAAGTGACACTAGCCAAAGGGTATCAGGACTCCTCTGCCAATAAACCACAAGTTTGTGACAGCATGACATTGAGGAAGGAAGGCACTGCAAAATATGGGGTAACTAGATGGCAGTGTTCTTCATTTTTAATGATATTCTCATGGAATTAATCCTCATGATTCACCTCTGAGGTTCCAACAGGAACATTGCGTCACCATTTATTTTAAATTTTTGATTGTATTTTTTTGTTTTCAACTTCGTATAATATTTTAAAAGGTGTTAGTATGTTCATTAGCAGTAATGTGAAAGTTGTGAAATAATTCAGATTCATACTACTGTAATGTGTGCATTGGCAAGATATGCTGTGGTTTAAGTAATTTTACAAGACAAAATATACACATACTATTTAATAATACTTTCCTGTTCTTTCAAAAATTTGAAAAAATTGGTTTATTAACTGTTATTCAAATTAAAATGTCTTTGAATAAACACTGCCAAGTGTATTGGGTCTGAAGTAGATTTCTTTATTAATGAAACAAAGCTAGAAATTGCCACCTGGTAAAATACCTTGGTAGCTATGTTACAGTCAAATAAAGATAAAAATTAATCCTCAGATTTAAGCACATGCTTTAGGGACGTCTTTGCATACAAACAAAAATTAATTTCCTAAGCTCTATCCACACTGACAAATAAATGTGATATGCCCTTATTTGGGTGTAATATACAAATTTTATTGAATCTCTCTCCAACTACTCATTTATTTTCCTCTCACTTTCTAAAGGCTAACACTCTTCCTATTCAACTCAGATATCAGTTTCAACTTGGCTGCCTAACTTTTAAGGCACTACACAATATCACTTTTTAAACTTTCTTTCAGCTTCAATGCCCCCTTGTTCTTTAACTCACTCCCTTTAAAAACCAGAAATTCTACAAGCATCTTATCCTTTATCTAACCTCAAAAGCTATCTCTCTCTTTCCTTGGTTTAGTTTATTTCCCTCTGTCTCTCTCCCCCACCCCATCCCTCTATCTCTCTCTTTTTTGATCAGGCTGGCCCTAAACTTTTTTTTGAACTTTTTTTTTTTTTTTTTATTTTATTTTTAACTTTGATTTTTTGATTTTCTTTTTTTTTGTGCCTTATTATTCTGCTTTTAATTTTTTTTATAGTCAATTTAATTTTAATTTTAATTTTATTTATATAATATGTGTAATAATTTCTTTTCCTTTGTTACTTGGTTATTATTATTATTTTTTCATTTTAATTTCTTTGTTTTTCTATTTATATTTCCTTTGTTACTTGTGTTACGTATTGAGGATCCCTAATGATCAGCTCCGGCTGGATGGACCACCCTCGTAAAATATTGTTGAAATAAAAATAAATAAATAAATCATGCCCATATATGGCACATCACAAAAATTTGTCACAAAAAATTTCATAGTGTGGAACTTTAAATTTTGAATACCAATACGTACCAGCTTTTCCTGAGCTTTCATTAATTCTTGTACATACCAACGCGAGCATGGCATTGTGCAATTAGAGGCACTTAGAACTAACAGAATCAGTTGGATGATATCTGATGTCTCACGACGCAACTCATACTCATCTTGCACAGCTTCACAATACGTCACCTGCAAAAATGCATTCACCAAAGACATTACAATGAGGTTCTTGAAATTAATAATTTTTACTAAATAATTAAACCTATATCAATAAAACATGAAAGTATATAGAGGAGTATGTGGTATTGCGGTAGATAATACCACATACATAATTTATTTAATCAGATTTAAAATACCACACATGAAGAGTTTGCAAAAGGTCAGTAGAGATAAAAATAGTCATGAAATTTTATATGAAATACGGAATATATACTGACAGGATAAAATGATTTGAAGGACACAGACATGTACTCAGCTCAGGACTAGAAACTATGATCTTTCAACTGATTTTTAATAAAAGGCCCAAGGCCTTACCACAGTCACAATAACTTCTTCAAATTATATTTTGATATAGATTGGTGTTCATGAAATGAAACAAAATGAATATTGTAATTACTGTATGCTCACAAAACAGACACAATTCAAGTTGCCCTTTTGACACATGTGAACACATGCCACCAAATTTTTAACAAGCTAGTGCAAAATGTCCGCTTTGATTTTGGTTCCTTATCTAAAATATCTGCACGCCTGATTATAATTTTGGACTGAAAGGTCAGATTTCTTATCTTTGAATTTATCTGAGATGCATACAATATTTTACTATTTCTAGTCTAGATAGGATTGGATTTTAGGGATGCAGTGTATACACCAAGAATAAACAATGCAAGTCCAAAGCAGACTTTGTTCCAGTCAGGGGTGGTACCAGGATTTTAACCGACAGGTAGCTCAAGGTCCCCCAATGGAGGTCTGATGTCCCCAACGAGAGCATAGTGGGCATTGCTCAAAATTTTTCCGAAAGTGGTCAAGGAGGTGGAATATATGACAATTTGGGGTTTCAAAGGCTTATCTAATCGATTTTATAGTCTACTAATGTGTAAATTAGAATTCATATAATTTTTTTTCTCCCGAACGAATTGTGGTTTTTCTCCATCGGGGAGCAGGTGAGGCCAGGGGGACCTGGCCAATTCCCCACCCCACCACTGGCACCACTTGTTTCCAGTGGGGTCCTCCTTGTTTTGATTGGACAGTCTAAGTTTCTGTTATTATGTGTCAAGTGTCAGTTAATAACTGGTCTCAGCTAATGTCTGGACTAATTGTGTTATAGTATTATCTTACATATAATATTAAAATTACTTAATATTATTATTATTATTAAATGAAATAAAATGGATTAAAATTTTTAATTTCTATTTCTTATTATCATTATAACGTTTAAATACTAATAATTAATAATTATTAAACCTCTTGAGGATGTGCTTACTTCAATTCCAAGTGATGGTTGAGGGCAGAAGTAAGGTGGAGCAGGCAGATAGAAGTCATCTGGCACCAATCGATCAAACTTAGCAACCATTGCCAAACACTTCTGCATGAGTTGACAGAGGAGCCATGGTGTGACATCAAGCTTAGCAACAGTGGCAGCTGTCAGGATCTCTTTGATGCTACGAGACAACTGCTCATGGAGAGCTTTGTCAGCTTCTGTTAGAGACGCTAAAATAACAAAAAGTAATTGAATGTGCTAAGGACTGTTACAGTAAGTTGAAATTGTTTGCATCATGTACACTTGCATCTGTTTACATCTTGGAAGGGTATTGGTAATGTGTGTGCTGATTTGATATTTTAATCAGCGATAAGACAAGTTTGTAACCTGTGATAAAAACTATACTAAAAGGTACAATTTTCTAACAATCTGTTATTAACTGTATCTAATAATATATTATTCAGAAATGCACAGTATTTTTATGGGATAAAGAACAAAAGAATTAAAGATATAAACAACCATTTATTAAATATATTGCGGACTAAGTAGCAAAGAATGAAACAGACACAATGCCGGTATAATTTGCAGTACATGTCTTTGAGACAAACAACAGTAAACATTTCTGTACCTATCGACAATGACTTCTTGCATGATGTGAGTAGCCGAGTTGGAGATGACTTGAACTGAGCCTTGTGGTTATTAGAGAAATTTTGTTGCTGTGGCGCTGTGTACTGTGACTGGTGGATAACATGCATCAGGTTCTCCTTCACAATCGATAGTGGATGGAGATCCACTGGCAAAGCTGTATTCTTGACCCTGTGTAAAAAAGAACAAAAACATTTACATTCAGAAAAGATGCAAACACTTTCTTTAAAGGGCAAATCAAATGCCAGGTGTGTACGAGTTAAACACAGACGTGATGAGTCGTTGAAAAAATGCACGGGGAACCATCGCATTGTAGAATATTAAACATTGTAGAATAGTAAATCAACGTCTACTTTTTACGTAAACTCAAGTCCTTCAATGTCAGCACTGAGGTATTACTATTATTTTTTAAAACTGTTATATTAAGTATACTTGTTAGCAACTGTATTTTATGGTACAGCAACTTATCTCAGGTCAATAAACATAAAATACTCAAAACCATGAAATCTGCTCGTAAAATTATCGGCTCTGATGTCGATAATTTTGATGACATATATTCAAGAACTGTGCTGAAAAAGCTTGATAATATAATTAAAGACATGTCACATCCTATGTTCTTGCAATATACCTTTAATAGATCCGGTCGCTTACGTCCAATAAAGTGCAATACTAATAGATTAAGAAGATCTTTTATTCACAACTCAATCTATATGTACAATGATGACTTTTATAGATAAACTTCAGTAACTAACCCTTGTAAGTAATTGTATCTTTTTGTATTTTCTGTCCTTAATTAATTTTTATTATATGTCTAACTTTTATACTAATTTTATTTTTGCATCAGGAAGACGAATTTTACTTGCATTTCATGTACCAGTGACAATAAAAGAATCTTGTATCTTGTATCTTGTACGTATATTCAAGACAACCTAAGACTGTCTCCGACCATAAATCATGTCGAGCTGCATTGCACGATGCTAAGTTGGCCTTAACAGAGCAATATCTCAATGTTCCCCTTTGGGCAAATATAGATAGGGCTACAGTATCTTATATAACTATGGAAAACTGTAGCTAGATTTTTTTGTCCCAAAATAAATGTCTATGGAAATAAGCTTTTCCAAAATTAAATAGAAATATTTAAAAGTAATTTTCTATCAATGTACCATTGTGTATTTGGTATGCATAAGCTGTGGATAAAGGAAGTTATCTGTTACAATCAAATCCTCAAATAAATGTCAATTAAATCTATCTTTCCCAAAAATTAAAGATAGGTAATTAAAGGTAATTTGCTATAAATGTACCATTGTGTACTAGGTATAGATATTCTGGCAGTGGATATGGGAAGTTAGCTGTTAGAGATTCAGTATTGTATTTATCATCAATTAAAGATATAGTAGTCCGGAGGCCTCCAAGGTTGAAGCGGGAATGGGATAATGCTACATGCAAGGCAGCTGTATATGGACACAGTGCAATTCAACAGGTTATTACCATGTCATCTTCAGTCAGCACTGAGTTGAACTATTTAGGAAGGGAAGTAAATAACAGGTGGATAGTCTAGAAGAAGACTTAACTTATAAAGTACAGGAACTTAACCAATGAACATTCAGCATTTACAGGAACTTAACCAATGAAAAGTAGGCTTAAAAAATTGGCACCCCTCACTGGCTACACACTCTAATACCATCCCGTGCTTGCTTGTGCTTAACATATTTTGAATTTAATCACAATTCTTCCAGATAAAATAAGTAATAAAGTTCTTATCCTAAGGATATATTTTGTCACATCAGTAACAATGAGGGATTTTAATTTTTTTAACCAGCTTAAGAACATAAACTACATGAGCTACCTTTTAAAACTGGTCATTGAAGTCCTTTACTGGTACTGACATGAGAAATTAAATCCAACACAATAGCTTATGTCTGGTTATAAAGTATCATGTTCTTTAGCAATCAGACCAGGAGGCAGATATAAGGGGGGGGGGGGAAATTAAAAAAAAAGGAAACAGAAAGAAAGAAAAAGAAATAATTCATCGCAAAAACGCTTCATAGGTTATTTTTGGGCGTCTAGAAAACAACAATTTCACAGGGACATGTCCCCGGACCCCCTAGGGTAGTGTTGTCGCGATCGGCCAAACTTTCGTGCCCCGTTTCGGACATCTCTGGATCCACCCTGCAGCATATTTGTTTGGTAGGAAGCATTAAGTTTTTAACAATTTATGTTTGGTAGAAAGCATTGCTTTTTTAGCAGTTTCACATTTGTCTTACATTTTTTTTTGGAGAGCACTGTGTTCGTTCGCAATTACAGCGAGTATTAGACTACTCTTCCAGTCGCCAAGCTGTTTAGCAAACCAAATAGCCTCCCAATGAAGACCACACACCAGCAGGAGTTGCAATGCGAGATTGACAGTGAAAATGCCCGACAGATCAGACTTCCTGACCGCGACTGAGATTTGATCATGATACACTGCTATCCTCCTGTTATCTGGAAAACATTATAAAAAAAAACATAAATACATTAAGTCGTTACTTGACAAAATGTGTCTTAGTTAGAAATCCGAAGAGTACACTGACTTGGCCTCATTGGTAAATTAGTAGAGCAATATAACAGTAATGAGCATATAAATACTTTTTAGTACTTTAGTTTTCTAATGCAATCTTACAGTTTCCGTCGCTGAAGGTTTAATAAAGTTTGACTTTGACAATTAATGGAAATGTGTCAAATTTTGACACTTGCATTAACATCTAAATGTAGAATAAAAAGGACATGAAAATACCAATCAAAACCAATGTAGACTAACAGTTTGAATGGTGATTCCCTATCTAAAATTCCTTAGATTTATTAGTATGTGCGTATCATTCAATTACACTATCATTTTGGTTGATAATAAAACGGATGTTTTGAATGGAATACATGTCAACATTGTATGACAGGTGAAACCACTCACTGCCTAACAATCTTCATTATTCGCAATATTTACACTTGTTCTGTATTACTCTCCAGTTTTTCTCCAGTTAATAATGCCCAAACTTTCATCATGTGACCATAACAATTTACAAAATCCCAAACTTTCATTATGTGACCATAAAAATTTACAAAAATATATATATATATAACATATATTTTTTTTTTTTTCCTATTGATTTATATATATATATATATATATATTTCAATATTGTTTCTTCTATCCTACCCCTTTTAGCATAAAACATGATTTAATACAACTGATGACTTAGATATCATAGAGTAACCTTTGATATAATCTATATTATCATTAACACATACACTGCACTTCTTATGAAATCTTGAAATAAAAAAGGCCATTGAATGGTAGTACCAGTGTATGTGTGTGGTTTACTATGGTTCAAAGTGAAATTACTCATCTATACCACAGATAGACTGACCAATCATGTAAAAGTTAAAGATCTGCCCAATCAGGTAATGATTAAATATCTGACTATCAAAAAAGGACTTACAATTTACGATTTATAAATGAAATTTTACATTCTAATTATTACACTTTTGTGAAATTTTATTTTTATTTGAACATAATTATTATTAAAATTAAAATGACTATTTTAAATGAACATTTAATCTTTTTAATTGAATTTTCTATACAACAAACAGTACAACTGGTGTAATTGCTCTAAGCTCTAAATGAAATACATATGTTAATGTTAATTTAAATGTATAAAAAAATATAGAAATATGTAAAAGCAATGTTGAAGGTTGTCTTTCACTTTTGTTGAGGCAATATAACATATTTTGAAAGTAATTTTTTAAATAGTTATTAGTTTTTCTTGTCATAAGTTTGATCCTATTATTGGACATTTCCTGCACACATGTCGATCAAGTTGACAGAGACAAAAATGGTCACCTCAGTTAAAATTAAATTAATTGTATGACAATAATTTTGAGGTATTTGCATGGGAGAAAATACTAAAAAAATTGCAAAATCATAATGAAAATAAGTTGAGTGACACATATTTTGAAACAATCAAAGAGATTTAATTGATGCTGTGCTGCGGTAACGTGCATACAAGGTTTGGGATGAAGTTTTTGGCGTTTTACATGACATCAGTCACATATTTCTTACTCATAGACAACTAGAGCCATCAATGTGCCACAGTTAATTTCTCACTACGGACACACATTCTCTACTAATCCTATATATGGGTATACAATGTGTGTATATTATATATTCACAATGTCATGGCTGATAGTAATGGTAATACAGTTAACGTAGTGTTACTATTAATTTATTTAATTACTAACATCCCTTTAACATTTTGAAAACATCACACTTTTAATACAAATGGTTCCACAAAGGGGCAAAACAGCTTAAATTATTTCTTACAACCTTGCCTTATAATACATACATTAGTTATTCAAAAAGGTATCTTGATGTTTAACAAGTTTAGCACATATTTCTTGAAAATCTATTGCCACCAATAAATTACCCAAGAAGTTAAAGAATTAAAGAAAATATTGAATTTTTCATTAAATTCAGGCGCCAGATGAAAAATACTTTTTGGCATGTTGAACAACAATTTTTTTCCAAGACACAAAAAGCATATTTGACAAAAAAATATTTAAAAACAGGACAAAAAAGGGGCGTAACCACTCTTTTTTCCAGATCACAAATTAGAAATTCATGGATAAATATTTAAATTTGATTTAGGTGGTAGTATATTTTTAAGTTAGATTATTAGATATAAACATTTCTCTGTGTATGTTCATCAAGTATTTATGTTATTTTCAGCTTTATATTGCAAAGTACTATGATCCACAGTAAAGATGTGAAACACATGCTAAATTGAAAATAATAACAATAATAATCATTTCCTAGATTTATAAAGCGTGTAATAAACCTTAAGTGCTACATAAACTAAAATAAAAACAAAACAAAAAACACCAAAAAGTTTAAAAAAAAAAAAAAAATTCTTGCCATGTCAAAAGAAGAAAATTAATATTGGAATGCTTTACAGCATTACCTACCAATATTTTTTTCAGGAGAATCTAATCTTGGAAGAGGTTGTGGATTGTAAGGAGGATATACGAACAAGGACTGATTGCTGAAATACATAGCCATAAATCGAGCTAATGTTGCTACTGCAATCTTGGCAGCAGGTTCTATCACACAAGGCAGCACTGGTGGGCTAGTGGTTTCATCATCCTGCAAGAATTAAACAAAATGGATGATTAATTTTCAGGTTAAAATTAGCTTTATTTCCCAATTGCATGACGATTTCCTCAGCATAGAAATCATATGACACTGTAAACAGGTGAAGTGAGCATGTGTCCAGTGATCGAGGCGCAACAGAGAAGAATGGTTTTTTGTACAATTGTGAGCACAACAGCTAAAACCATGAGTGCACACTTTATCAGATGCGCTCTTAACATGCTGTATAATGAGTTTTCATCCAAATGCTCTTATTCCTAATCATAAGTTTGAAATATGGCACTTTCTTTTGTTTGATATTGAAATGATTACAAACAACATTATGAGGTAGAAGAGGAATAGGTAAAAGTATGATACTTATGTTTGATATTGGAATGATTACAACAAATATTATGTGATAGACTCAGGGATGGGGGAAAGATTTTTGTAATCTATTGTAGTACAGAAATTTGAAATTTAGGCACGACCCATACACTCACTCTATTAACCTTCCATTAGGTGATGTAACCTGCACCATGCACTCACTCTATTGACCTGTCATTGTATGAACTCATTTACAGCAATACTATATACAAACTAGACAGATCAATGAAGGGAGCTGGATCTGAGAAGTATACTATTACCTAGTACGATGAGGCATGCTCTAACACCCCCTGGGTCGACCACACAGCTACAAATATTCAAAACCTAGTTGTAAAATGACCTAAACAGAAACTAAATTAAAATATAAAACATGACAATGCTGTTAATCTGCAACAATATGACCTTTACAAAAATACTTTATAATCCCAAAAAATGGAAAGAAATGAAGGATCAGCAAATATCACTTTATTAATTTAGTCTATTTATTTATTTTATTTTTTCTTTAACATTCTGTTTAATAATATACTGTTCTCCCACATAAACAATGAAAAAAAAAATCAGTTTGCTACTTTGTTGAATTGAAAGTTTTGAACTATTAGTATTTTGTAGTATTGCATAAAGTAATTCAGAACCTGCGAGGAAACTCAACACTTCTATAAATTTTCATAAAAACATAAATTGTAATGATTTACAAAATGTCATTAAAACATTTTTACTTAATAAACACAGTTAGAAACTAACAATATAAAAGGAAAGTTATCAAAATTCAAAATTATTCATGAAAATCACAAAGGGAATAAAACTTCCTTAAAAGAAAAAAAAAAGAATTGGAGCAATTTTAATTATATTATGCATATTAAAATGTATTAAGTTATATGCCATATTCCTCAGCATATTAATCAACGAATTATTAGTATAAAGGAAATAATATTGGAATTGAGTTTTGAATACAGTTTGATTTATATGCCTTTCTTTGAGTCCCATATGAATGTACCTAAGAGAGGGGGTGTTGTCAACCAGAGGGGGGTTCTTGTCAAAAATTGTGAAAACATTGATTAAAGGGATTTATCTACTTCTTGCTATTCACACTAGTCATGATTAATATTTCACAAAAAAATACTTTCATTTTATTTAAAGTTCAGTTCTGAGTTACTGTGCACTTGATATTCTAAATATTATTACAAAATATTAAAAAGCATTTTAAAAGTATTATTGAGGATCAAAAGTTTTTAGATTGTTAACTACTAAGCCATTAAATCCATTCAGAATGTTGAAATAGTATGAATTCTCGTAAACATAAATGTTCAAATTAAAACGTTTAACTAGTCAGGTATGTGAATATGAATGTTTATGATGACTATGTTTGGTTTTATATCAATAAAACTTTACAACTTGTGTAAGAATAGGGTGTCTACAGAAATATTAGTATAAAAAATGTATTTACCTAAAATTAATGATGTGTATTGGATGCAAAGATACTGAAAGATGATTTTAACATTTAAAAAATGTTTAATATTAAGAGAGGTAAGTGCTAAGCAAATATCAACTAATTAACAAGTTCCTGACTCTAATGTTCAATTTCCACCTAGGACATTTTTCAAAAATTAAATAGAAAAATTATTTTATCAGGAAGCATCCTAAATGGATTTCAACCCATGCACAGACACTGTGACTTGCAGCACAGCCCCAAGGCAACCACTTATTTTCAATACAAAACTAAATATAGAAAAAATAAATCAAAAGGATTTAAAATTTGGTTTATTTAAAGTAATGCAATGTGAATTTTAAATGTTATGAATTTTAAATTTCTTTTATATCGTACTATGTTTTTATGTGAATTTTACATGTTTCATATTGTCAGAGAGAGAACAAATTTCCAGTGCAATGTTGGACAATAGAAGTTATCTTATCTTAATAACATGTTCATGATGTCGTACAATATATAAATTAAAATACATGAAAATACCAAAAAACTTAAAAATATAAAAGGAACACAAATCTAGTTTTTCCGATGGTGTTTGCATCCATCAGGAGATTCTGATGAAATATCATTGCAGTACCCGCTGCTACTTGGGATCGGTTTCAACACTAGTCACTAAGCACAAGCTCGGTGAATAGTGGTTAAGACACCAGGCTGGTTATCTGAAGGTTGTGGGTTCGATTCCAACCCGAATCACCTGCAAGATTTTTTTTTGCAAGTACTTGGGAAAGTGCTGCGCATTCAGTACGATAACACATCAGGTAGTCATTCCTATTAATAATATAAATCTAGACTTTTTTATTATGTAAGTATTTTAAAATTTCCGAGGCACAAATTTATGAGGTTACTCAAAAGTTAGTTGATGTATTTTTTTAGCTAGCCTGCATGAATCACAATGCTTAACACACGCAGAGAGGCCAACCGTATAGGCCACAGGGAATTATCTGTCCACTACCTACACGTGCTGAACCAAGCGCAAAGCATACATCCTTCAACACTTTTAATGTAATGTGATTTAGTTAGATTTACATAGCACTTTTACACTGAAGTCTCAGCACTCCAAACGTGGACTAGCATTCAGTAACTTCCTTGTCCTCTAAGGGTCACTTCTTGTCTGAGCTACCTGGTAAACCACTACCAGCTACTGTCATCTGTTCAAAGCAGGGGCTGTATGGACCAGCACACCGGAGTACCCTTTCCCAATGACTAAATAAATTTTGGAGTAAAATTTAGTACAATTTGAGACAGATGAAATATACAATATTTTTCATACTAATATGTTATTCTATGTTAACTTGTACTAACTTGTTGATGGGACAATAATGAAATGATGAAGGCATGAAGATATTGATGATAAGACATTGTTGATGGGATATTGTTGTGAGGAAGATGATATAATAGTGTTACTTATTCTAAATTAGATGTGGCTTGATATATATTTTTTTGTTGCAAGGTTAAAAAAAAATGAGAATGACCTAGCAAGGTTGAAAAAAATGAGAATGACCTAGCAAATTTGTCAACCAGATATTTATCTTAAAATATCTCAAAATACTGGAAATATTCATTATAATTTTGTAAAATAGTGATTAGCAATCCTCGAGCAGGATGTAACATAAAATTACGCATCATTATTCCAACAATGCATACAAATAGGGTTAGATCCCATATACATCTAGGTGCAATGACTGTCGATAGTTTCAAACAGGACAGAAGATATTTATCATAAATATATCACAATTTTATTAATAATATATTTTTTTAATAATGGAAATTAATCCATTCATAAAAACTACGTAAATCTAGAGTTGTTCTGATGAAGGGCACCACTAAAGCATTTGGTCAAATGCAATTCGTTAAGGGGGAATGATATTACCTATGAAGGCAAGGAGTCACCTAGTGGTCCAGTAGTAAGGACTGTAGTACCAAAAGTACCAAAACTCGATTTATAAATAGCCCATTACCGTATATGACTAAAATTCTAAATTCACTTTGTAGTGGGACCCTAAGGTCAGAGATCTCTTCAGTCTGAGCATTTGGCACAGAGGCGCCTTGTCGTGCATGACTCCTGCAGATTGATTGATTGCGGTTTTTGGTTGGTTTTTTTTTTTTTTTTTTTTTTTTTTTTTTTTAAGATGAAACTGTATATATAATTTTAGAGACTCAATTGTTTAATTTCTCTTGAATTTGTAATATGTAATACGTCTTTGTAATTTTTAAGGTATTAATGTAAATTTAAATTTTTTTTTTATGATGAAATTGTATATATGTATTTACACAGTACCCTTACACAGATGGTCTCACAGTGCAAATGAGTAAATCTCATCATAAGACTTAAGGAGTGGGGATGTTATTAGTCAAGAGAATAAATCTTCATCCTTAAGTGGTTTGACAGTAAAAATGTCTGCTCAATACACGAGATGGAGGCACAGTCATGGGAACAGCTTTGGAAAGCAAGGCAATAAAAATGTATTCTCAATACACCTGAATATTACATTCAGGTGCCTATAACTTTGGGTGACTGGCAATAGTTATCTCTTCAGAATACACCTGATAGTGACACTTGATTCAGACTACGGTCACACTAGAGTCTCAAGCCTGGCTTGACTCACCGCGGGTGAGATTTCAAGCCAGGCTCGAAATTCTGGGTCGGTCACACTTTACCTGAATTTAGTTGGATTGACCTCCAAATTAGGAAAGTCGAAACAGGAAGTTAGAGCGCCGCTAGAATCAAAATACCAGCCCCGCGCGCAAATCTAGATGATCTAGGCCTAGGCTCGGATGTAATGGCGATGCTAGTTTTCGGATTGATAAGTGCATTTATAAATGAAACTGATGATTGCCGCGGGTTTTTTATTCAAGAACTTCTAAATGCAACAGCGTCATCGACTTTGATTGGTCGACAGCCGACGAGGAAATGTCAATCCCGGTCACGCCAGGGTCAATCCAGGGTCGATCTGGGTACTAAGCCGGGATCGAGATAGGTAGATTGAGATCACGCCAGGCGCAAGTCGATCCAGGTGCGGTCAAATTGCGAAAATCTCACCCACAGTGAGTCAAGCCAGGCTTGAGACTCTAGTGTGACCGTAGCCTTAGCAGTGTGTTGAATGTAAGATAATGGGAAATGTCAGTTACACCAAAATAGTTACTCATTCAATTGGATGCAATCATTGATGGCGTGACAATGAATTTCTTCTCAATGCACATTGAGGAACAAGAACATTTCTTGAACTGAATGTTGAGATGCAATTTCTAGTATTAAGATACCATCAAAACTTCAGAACAAAGACAGAAATTTAAAAAGAGAGCTTTAGATTTGCACGACGATGTGACGCTACAACGAATTCACTCATGAGTGACCGTCCTTACTGTCCTGTTAACAACATAGATTTGGGCAAATTGATTCCTAGAATTCTGTTCTACGTCCTACAATGGTCATGCAATCAAGAGCTCCCTATTGACAGACCAGACACCAAAAACAGCTCACTACCGCCACCCATCACTGTATCATTGATGACTCATTGTATCAGAAATGACTCACTACTGTAGCCAGACAGTACTGTACACTGACAAAACCAACACCCCTCAAACAATGCAAACATACCTCCACCCACCAAAATGTTATTAAATGTGTATTTATATTTTTGTTAATGTTCAATTTTTGACACACACTATTCTCGTGTGCCACTGTTTTAAAAGTGTAGAATCAAATAAAGATTACTATTATTTATTATTACTATGGTAACTAAAGATGACATCATAGATGGTTCACTAAAGTAGCCAGATACATCATTGATGGCTCAGACATTACAACAATAGATTACAATATTACTAATCATCATGCGGCAATGCTGTCCAGAAAAAGAAACGTTGTCTACATTTTCCATAGATGAATACATTGATAAACTTTAAGGTATGTATGTGAATGTGAAAGCCTAGACATGAAACTATACACTATGAATCACAAGTTGCTCTAGACATTGTCTATTTTAAATATCAAAGGTACCCATGATAACTAGGGACAGGGAGGGGGAACATTATTGGCGTCATTTCTGTAATCATAGGAATCAATGTCCATAATAATGATGAGTAGTGGACATCAAATACGAACAGTGGAAAGGCATCAACCTGGTTGTACGACAAGATCAAAGCACTATAAATCAGCATACTTTTTCATACAAGCAAAATGATTTTAGAAGTAAAACTTAACATGTATGAAGTATTAAACCAGGTGAAAGGTCATTAAGGATATAAATATTGGAAGATGAAGCTAAACTTGTCAAAAGGCTGATAAAAATAATTAATAATGAAAGATGATTATTTGGAATGTTAACCACATCTTCTGAGACTTATTAAAAAATACTACAAAAAAAAATGAATACTACAAAAAATATTAACTTGTGATCAGAAATAAGTTAAAACGAAACAACTTAATGAGTCACTTGATGTCAAAACAACCAGGTAGGTCAAGGTTGATGGTGCCAAAGTAGTATGAAAAGAGGAAATGATCGAAGGGTGTGGTGGTGCACATGCTGTGAAGGACTACACCTCAAACTGTCAACACACTTGATGAAAAGATTGGAATAGCCCTGATTCTCAACCAGACTTTGTCAGATTACACCAAAGTGCCAGCAATGGCAGTCGTTTGTCAGCATCTAGCAATGAAATGAAACTTTCTTAATTTTGGATCTCCATATCTCCAACAGAATCAAATGAAAACATTACATGTAAGTTTGGACAGAAGATTAAAGGTTTATATGAATGATTGGATTGCTAAAATAACATGTGATTCTAATGATGACAGGCCTGACAGCTGGATTCGCCGCATTCAAGGAATCTTGGGCGGGTTCAAATGACAAAAACAAAACTAAACTGGAAATGCAGCATTGTGAACTTAATATAAAAAATAATGGTTAACCTTAAAAGCAATAGTTTAAATAAATGTTGATTCTGACACCACTATAGTACTATTTTCTGTTCTCTAAACAAAATGCCTTTTCTCAATTCATACCCATTTCTTTTCCACTCAATGCGGTATATGTCGTAATTTATCTAGATCCTTTCTTTTAAGAACTTAGGTTATACTGACTCGATCTTAGAATGACTAATAAAGTAATACTATAGACATCCAGATATTTAAAAAAAAATATTTAAGTTTTGAAACATTAAGTAGATTAATAGAAAAACTGACAGAAAATATGACAGCATTAGTGACAAGGGCTGTAATTGGCTGACAAATTGTGAGAATATTAGACAGGCTCACTAAAGACAAGGGCTGTGATTAGCACACATTTTGAAAGGATAAGATAGAGCTGAAGACAAGGGTGTGTAAATGGTTGAAAATTACTTGTGTATTTTGACAGTTAGAAAGACAAAATTTGATTGAATCACAAGTTTTGAATCCTAAAAGTGTTTACTTTCACTGAGTAACAGCTAAAATGACAGATGGCAGTAAGTACATGCTAAATGGGGCAAAAAATGTGCTGGACTTAAATGAACTGTGAGGATGTCCACTGTAAAATGTGACTATTGGTTTAAAAGATAGATTAATGTTACATCAAGTTAGTTGGCAGCCTGTCAATTTTGCTACAAAGTGCTCTGGTTATTATTATTTAAGACAATTTTTAGAAAACCACACCCTTAAGTGAATGTGACGTTTATACCTTTTAGGAAGATCTTTCTCCTTGCATGTGAGCGTCTCTTATTAAAGATGACGGGGATACTGCAGCCTAGCTTAGCTAAACTTGTCTGAGTGAAGGCAATCAATATGTGGAGTTTCTCAATCTGCTTCTGAACTTTGTCATCTTGTGGAGCCTGCTTTGCTTGATAAGACAGTTCAATGTAAAAACTTGTCAACTTTTGGTGCAAAAGTTTCCAGGACATCATTAATCTAGAATATAAACAAATCACTGTAAAGATATTGTAATACTGAACTACAAATAAACATAAAAAAAAAACATTCAATACTACTAGGCCAAGAAGCTGATGTTGTATAGCCATTCTTAGCTTTTCTCTACAAATTTGTACTAAAACATATGAATGTCTTAAAAATATTGATAAAACCCCCAGTAGAATCTACTGCACTAAACTTGTGTTTGTCTGCATTTTTTTTCCTTTTCAATGTCATAAATGATTTAAATTTAACTTCATAATTCGCGCTGAGAACTTAGCACATGCATGATAATCATATCTTCCCTGAAATAAGTATGTTGTTTTTCTGGATATGGAAATTACAAAACAAAAACCATATGCACTCCCATTTGAGCTGCCTTGTCATGCCTGAATATTTCATCCATCTTTCAAAACATTAATATTAACATTCATTCATTATATTACCATTGCTATAGTCACGTTTCTATAATACAAAATTTACCATACCTGCTTTTACAGAGTCCTCATATTTCAAAGATATTTGTAATTCTTTTTAATGGGTATCTTCAACTAGCATGGGTACTATATATTTTTTATTTTATTTTTTCATATAGACTAACAATTAAAAATCCAACTAAGTAATCTCTCTTTATATCAATATAAATAAATAGTGGTACTGTAATTATTTCTACCAGAACTATAGCATGGGTTTGTTAAAAGAAAAAAAAATCAGGGTTTCAACACTTAAACAAATATTATATACAGCATAAAAATATTACAACTTTTTTTTGTAATTAAGCCTGATTTTTTAAACTATAAAACCAATGTACGCTGGAACAATTTTTTTTTTTAAGGCAATGACTATTGTTACACCAGTCTTAAATTCCTAATCCTGTTTTGATGTTATTGTCCTAATCCAATGAAAAAAGTGACTTCCTATCAGAACTAGGAATTCATTTACAGTAAGACTGGTGTAAAAATAACCACTGTCTTTTTTATGTCAACAGTCATGAGTGCATAGTGATTACATTCAATACAATCTGTTTAGGCTCTATATTCATTTTTTTGTATAGTATTTCAAAGGAAGAAGTAAGTTTCCGCATGTTCTCAAATAATTACAAAATTGTCACAAAAAACTGGGCCCCATTTACTGTGAAATCGTGCCAACTTTTTTCTAATTTTGGAGGATATTATGTGTAACTACTGTGCTTGGTACTGAACTGATTTGAAAGCCAACTCATCTAATGGGAATCTCACAGTCTGCACAAAAGCGAAAATTTTCCCTGAAAATAAATTGTCCTGAAAGCCTTAAAGCCTGGTAAACACCCACATTATGAGAACAGGTGATCTCTTCACATGCCCATCATTTAATCAAATTTGTAAAGCGATATCACTCAGCCACACTCAGATAAATTAATTACTGCTCTGTCCACTTCCTACATGAATATTTTTTTTTTCCTTTTTTGCAGGTCCTCAGCAAGCTTGTGAGCATATTTGCCAGATGGAAAGGTGTAACTCTCCGACACACTTTCAAACATTGCGTGCCAAGGCAAGACTTTTTATACCTTGTTTAGCAAACCTTTCGACTGCCAAAAATGGTGATTTTTATTAAAAATTTTATTTTATTTTTGGCCATTTAGGGCACCCTCCACTATAAAAAAAATAGAAATTTAATTAAAAATTAAAATTTTACATTTATTTTTATTATGCTCTCGATTCCCCTGAAATCTCCCAAAATAAGATAATATATATTTCTTTCTTAATTATATAAATTTAAAGCATTTATCAATCTCATTACTACACTGTTTAATTCATTAATACAATTTTATTTCTATTTTCTCCTCCTCCTAGATGGTTTTGGCAAAATTACTTTGCTAAATGAGAAAACTAAATTTGATTTTTAATTCTTTTCCACAACTTCTTTGACGATCTTACAAAAAAAAAATAATAATGGTCGACTTATAGAGCATATATTATAGAGACCTCTATGTCAAGTAATATAACATGCCCAATCATAGATCTGTCTCTTATACACATCTAGATGTGTATAAGAGACAGTCCTTAAACTAAGCATGGTGTGGCTGTTGGCTCCGAGTAAAATAACAAGGTATAAAAAAAGTTGCACCTAATGGAAGCATTTTTAGCCTTCTTCAATCCCTTTTATGTATTTTTTATGCTGTAATGCATACATAAATGTATCCCTTTAGATTACTGACACACTAGTCTTCATAGATCTGTTTCAACGACTGTTGGAATGGCGCGATTGATTGATCGACAGATCAGCTAAGTTTTAAACTCAACAAGAAAATTGAGTAGTTTCAATTAAATGTATAATTTCTGACTAACTGGTACTTTACAGAATATGCACTGCATATTTTCATACTATAACTAAAAACTGAAATATTTAATAAAAATATTTAAATTTTGAATGTTAAAGTGTTATTGTCACTCTTAATATATTTAGGAATTCATTTTCACCCGTTCCAAAGATCTGTATTTTGCAATGGGTGACTTGTTATGTCATAAAAATAAAAGAGCCTATTTAATCTATGCTGCCATTCTATTAGTGCATTGTAAAAAAAATTGAAATGGTAGACAATGTACTTAAAGAAAAAGATAGAAATATTTCATATTATTTAGAAAGTTTCACAAATATTTGATATGTTTAAAGTATTATAGTCAGCCACTCGTGGACTGACCCCTGTTAAGTGCATTTGAATTTGAATTTATGATTTTTTGATTATTATTGATGTTTATAATGAAAAAAAAATAAAATAACAAAAGAAGAAAAAATAAAGGTGGGTGAAATCCCAAGAGAAAAAAAAACTAAACTCTGTAAATTCAGAACAACTCACAAAAACAGATAGCAAAAAAAAACAAAAACAAACAAACCTAAGAAAAATGATATTATATTGTCATCAAGCACTGGTATAAGTGCTTTAATAAAAAAAAAAATATTGGGGACTGCGGAGACTGGTAGTCAATGATCACTGCGAGTGAGTCAAGTCTACGACTTGAGACTAATCGTCTACGATAATCAAGCTGTCATGTAACATTAAGTATTCTGCATTAAAATGACTAATTCAGGAATGACTGCAACATACTGTACTTCATGAGAAAGATGGATACAAAATCTACACTGACTTTAATTTTGCAAGACTGACCTCCATTCTCCGTATTAGTGACGGCAATTAAAAACCTTTTAAAATGTGTTGAATAGATTTGTAATCTTCAGACACTTTAATAACAGTGTTGAAAAATAAACCTCAAATTTAGAAAACAATATCATTTTAATAAAAAAACACTTTAAACATTTTATTACATAAATTGGCAATGACAAATGCAGAAATTTGAATTTAGTGAGTAATAAGTTACAAAATATGGTTCAAATTTGTCACGCTAGTAGAATTTTTAAAGTATAGTGTTCTCTAGTGCAATATAAAAATCCTGAAACTGACACTTTGGACCTACATAAAACACATAAAAAAAACATGGGTGCATGTAATGTATGCATTAAAGACAGGTTTTGACAAGGATCCCAGATGCATGCAAGTATAAAAATCAACATATGTCAATTATCTCATAAATTTTGTCCTTAAACACCCTCCAAACTGTACATCTCATAATAACACATGACAAGGATAGGAAGAGTGCTTGACGTCTTTATGTATCTGTGTCGCCGTTGGTATCACGCCTGTCAGGTGTGCTACTTTTACAAGATTTTCTAAGGTACTTGTAATTGTTTGACCCCCCATTCCTGAACGACAAGTACTTTTTTTCATTCTCTGTACATTCATTTTCTCATCAAAGAGAAGGAAGCACCTACTGTATATGTATAGACACCTATCAAGTAATATAACATGCCCAATCATAGCACCTACTGTATATGTATAGACACCTATCAAGTAATATAACATGCCCAATCATAGATTCACTTCAAGTCTCCTACATTAGAACCATATGGTACATAATCAAACTGATATAATAATAAAGAATTGAGCATTTATAGCACATAGGCATGTGGACATTTTAAAGCCCATAATAAACCTAATATAAATTGCTTTTTTTTAAAGAATGAATTCTCAAGAAGGCAATTTAATTGTGATATTCACTATCATCTACTATATCACGCCATTCCCTAACAAGCCCACCTTTTTATCAAATAACAACTTGATGGAGCAGAAATAGTAGCTTGTAAAAGGGCAGAGAACATTCTTATACCGTCCAACTAAGATATGGAACAAGCTTCCAAACCAAATTAGATCAAATTTTAATTATGTTCAGCTGACTACATTTAAAAACTAAATCAAAACCCTGTAATATTTTTATTCATTTCCACTCCAAAGTAATGTTGTCTTGCCTTGACCCAAATCATATATATATGTATATATATATATATGTATATATATATATAACTGAAATAAACTATCGCAAATT